TTCATTACTCAGTAGATTTCATGAAGAAATCTCACAATAAAATGACATGATGCAACGGTCTGAACAGAGTTCAAATTTTCTAAGCGGATATCGCCTAAGTTCCTCTTCTTATTTATTATTGTTTTAAGATTTATATTTTTCTTAAATTTCATTGTATTAAAAGAAATTAAAAAGTAATGTTGCTTCGTTAACGCTTAGGTTAATACCTTACCGCAGCGGATCATTGTATTTTAAATTCTGTTCATTGTACTTAATATCTTCTTTAGCATAAGATAAATATAATTTTGAAAAATACGAAATTCTTTATTTTTAAAATAATCACTTAGATCATTGGAAAAAACTGAACAACTGGTCCGCAAATCTTCTTTCAGCTTCATATGAGCTGTGCCCGTCGAGGAATCCTGCCGATCAGTCGATTCTATCAAGTTAGAATTACAGTTGACAAAATAAATTTAGAAAAAAAAAGAGTAACGATACAAATAAAACATTGAATAAAAATTATCTGTTTGTAAATGCCGGCAGTTTGACATTTTCTTTTTATTTATTTTATTTTTAAAAAGAATATTTATCAAAAAGTATTTGTTTAAAAATATTTAAAGTTCAGGATAACGGACGAATATAGTTTTTACCAAGATGTGAGCTTGTTCGTACTATGTACTTTTTTTCAATAGTTATAATTATTATATTACAATTGTAAAAAACTTTTTAATCTCAGAAATAAATGTAACTTGAATATCGCACAAAAGGGGACGACATGCGTCATTTAAAAAAAAAAAGACATCTTCCAATTTTTGGCTTCAAAAACCTACACAATTATAATTAACCATAATGGAAAACAGGAAGTAAATCACAAAAGAAAAGCAACACTTCTATCAACATATTGAAATAAAAAGATTTTTTAAAACTGTTTCAACAGTAAAGTAATTACTGAAAATATATTACTATAAAATGTTGGTCTGATTTAAGAACTTGGTCAATTGGTGGCTGGAAGCACTTTTGGAAGCTTTTACATCACTAGCACCATCTCGCGGCCAAAAATTTCAGATTTTCCAGCATCTTTATTTTTCTTTGAAATGAAAAAGTGATTTTTGATGTAAATACTGGTTTAAAAAGGTAGGATTATGAGGAGACTTATCATCAGGGCTGATAGTGATCAAAAAGGAACCACCTTGTGGGTAAGAGGATGTGTCAAAATCAGCAAAATAGGTCGTAAATCGTCCCCAGATGAGGATGAGATTTTATTTCCCTCGAACATTTTGAAAAAAACCAAACTTCTCTTACCTTCAAAGTGGTTGAGGAGTAAAAGGAAGACGGAACGGAATCAAAGCGAAGGCGGCCGGGCCACTACTGGCATAGGTGGAAGAAGACTGGCGTTTAGTACGCTGCCCGTCCGCCGCGAGCGCTGTCTCCGAGAAGATGGCCGACGTCCCTCGACTCCCATTGGCCGGCCCGCCACGCCCCCGCCCCCCGTCGTTTCCCCCCTTTTTTTCCCTTTTCCACCCCCGTGAAATATTAATTTTTTATCCTGCACTTGACCACCCCCGGAGGCTGGCTCCCACCCCACAAATAACCAATCATTTTTAGACCCTCGCCTTCTCTCCGCTCCGGGGGGAAAATGCAATTACTTCACCTACCTTTTGTATAAATATTAAAACAAGGGCGGAAAATATCATTCATATTAATTTTATTTACTGCAAAGGGCATTAAGTCCTCTGCAGCGTCATTGCAGCTCAACTGGGAAATCTTTCATCCCTGCTTTGTTCCATCTCGTTCCCAATTAAAAACACATTCCTGTCCCAAACAAAGCACGATCCTCATTTTAACTCTCTCCAAACAAATAGTTTCAAATTACAAATATATACTACACAAAAATTAGGTCAATATCGATGATCACTCATGATGACTCCATAGTATCGACTTAATTGCTATTGCTTCTTTTCTTATACTTTCCTGGATTAACTGCATTCCTACATAACGAATAATAGTTCACTGTCTTGTTGAAAAAGCAAATTCAGTTGATACTGTTAACATTTTGACCTATTTTAAGGTCATCATCAGGGCAAAACAAACTTAAATATGTCTACAAATTGACATAATTAAGTTTTTAATGGTAGACTATAACCTACAGTCCTTGGCAATGTTGGAACTGAGTTAATCATCAAAGAAATTTCAAATCATCTAATAATAACATGATCTTTTTACATAATTTCCAGTTATAATTAAACACGAAGCCAGACCGTTATTTTAACATGCACCTTTCAAAAAAATCTTTTAAAACTATCTATGCACATAGATACTATTTATCTATAGATATATATGTATTAGGGCGGGTGTTCCTCAGGGATGCATACCTGGCCTATTTCTATTTTCAATATACTTTGCAGATATTCATACACACGTTAAAATTTTAACGCGATTGTATCCTTACACGTCACTCGTACCCCTTCATAAACACTCAATACTTACAGCAACATCTGGATGAATTAACAGTACGGTTCACTAAGCGAAAAAACTGAACAAAAAGCGTACAAATAAATTTCACCCTGTGAAAAGCATCTGTCTTCAAGTGTGTACAAATGGAACACCATTATCTACCTTGTGCATGATCATAGACTGTTCATCGATAAACAACTGACTTGAAATCCCCACCCAAGACAGAAAAGACAAGAAACAAACCGACTACTTGACTCACGGTCAAAATTAGAAATGGAATACAAACACAGTCATGATATCCGCCTCCCAGTTGTTCTTGAAACCCAACCGGCGGACTTAGTTTGAGAAGTCGACTTAGTGCATATTATTGACTTATTGCTCTTTTGTCTATTTTCTTTAACTTTTATGTTAAAACTGCATTCATGACACAAAGGACAATCATCCTCGACAACAGACCTCTTGTAATATAAACTTTTAAAAATACACATTATCATACTTTCTGGTTTGCATAAAGTATCTGAATTTCCTCTAGAGGTCTGCAGGTTTAATGTGATTTTGTTTCCGATCATTTCTATCCAACTATCCTCGCTATTTTAAAGACAACGAAACTATGCTCAAAATTTAATAGAAAGAGTTATGATATATATGATGAGAGCATATATTAATTCAATAGTTGAAATCGATACTCAAAAATAAAATTGATTTTAGATATCCAGATTTCGAGCATTATACGCTCATCATCAGATTGAATAGGAATCTACATGTACGTTTTACAACATAAATTGTAAACTGTGACTTGTGGTAAAAGACACACTTAACCAGACCACTTAACACTGACAATTAAGATGATATTATGATTATTATGATGGTGATGACGGGTACAACGATCAAATAAAGTGGTGACGCGTAATTACGATGTGAACACAATCAAATAAAGCTGTAGTGTCGAATGGTAATTATGATGTGTCACCACGTCATCATTCATCATGCATAGTACATTGGTCATTTTGATAGAACTCTTCTACAGTAAACAAAACTTTGTAAATTATATATTTCACATGGTATAAACAAACTTCTAACTATAGCGATAAATGTCTATGACAATAATAACAACGTAATTGTTATTACCTGTTTTCTTTAACTTTTAATTTTTCAGCAGACCTTTTCTAACAAAAACGTTTAAAACAACAAGCGTTTCATTTATTTTAATTTATATGTATACTAAACCAAAAATATATGAAAATTGATCAATGTAGATTTTTCAAGGTAACCGCATAATAACCGCTTGATTGTTATTAATCCCCTGTTATTTACTCTCTGCATGAAGTTTAGAAAAATTGATCATTATTGATTTCAATCTTTTTGACAACCCTCACCAACACTGGTAAACTCTCTGCTACTGTTAGAAGAATGTAGGACTATCGGTCAATGGCATCTGAGAAAACGTCTGCATAACATGGGCATATTCTATGATGACAAAATGAGGAGGAAGAAACTCCAGACCCATATAATCTTCGAATGCGAAACAACCGCTCAATGGTGACATAACTTGGAATACAAAGAAAACCAAGGGAAAGGCATTATAGCAACGACAGTCAATATATTAGTACTCCTTTAAAAAAACGGATCGAGTTGATTGCATTTAACTAAGGACCTAGGAAAGTACAATAAGCCAGAAGGCTGCAATACTGGGGGGAAAATGCCGCGGCTTCCTTGTATCAATTCATCATCATCATTTTAACTAGGAATGCAAACATTTCAATGGGCGATTCAATATTTTATTTGTATGTATTAGCAAACGTAATAACGTATTGAACAATTAATATAATAAGTTACGAATCGATGGATTTCATCGAATTCATATTATGATTTAGAGCTGTCTGAAACCCAATTTTACAAAATTCAATCTGTGGTGTCGCATCGGAGGCCGGTAAAATTCAATCGATCCATCAATTTTTATTATGTGATATAATGTATTTTATAGGTGGGAAACCAGGGGTATTAAAGATAATAAAGGCTTAAAGCAGATTACAAGATTTCAAATTTTTCCGTACAAACGCCGAAAATTTGAACTGCAAATATATTAAAATATTCAGGCTTCGCTTTAAAGAACGAGAAGGGTCTCGAATAGGAACAAAACTTGTAAAACAGTACATTTATCATAATTCGTATATGCTTCCTAAAGTTGATTAAATTTTTAATTATCGATTTTACAAGGTTTACTATTTATAAGTACAATCCAAGTATTAGTTGGACTTTTAACTACGCACGATTGATAAAATGCACATACCTTTGTATTGGCTCGATTTAAAAAAAAAATTTAATTTAATTTAAACAAATAAAATAAAAAACAGTATATGTAGAAGTAACTATTTTACAATGTTAAACTAGTGATAAAGTGTGTACTTTGTCCGTTCGGCGCTGATTTTGAATAAAGCTAGGTTTGGAGTTTGAATTAGACTTACATTAATTTCAAGAGAATTTACGTGCTTTGGTACGAAACTTGTAACATTCAAGGCACACTGTTTTATTAATGGCCAATGATCGTAAAGATAAAAGCTACTTACATTATACAGCGTGTTTGGAGATCTCAGACGACTAATTCTTAATTTTCAGACGTATTTGTTGTTTTGAATGGGATTAAAATGTCACACGGCCTTCTTCGACACGATAGTGGCAAAACTGAAATTCAATCAGACCTTCAGTTTAAAAACACAACACAGTTGTTTTTTATAGTTGGTTGAGAAACTTTTGTTTATTTACTCACAACGGTTGAAATTGGAAATGAACTTTTGCTGTATTATTTCCCGAGGCAAATTACTCGTTTCAATTATTTTCACTTTTGTAAAATTTGTTTTTATGATCTACAAAAAACATTGCGATAATATTTATACACTTACTTACTTCAGAGCATAATGTTAAAATTAAAAAAAATTAAATTTAATATATAAACATGTCTCAATTACAATTTACGCGCTTTCTGCTTGTGTATATTTATTAAAGAAACACCTCGAAACCCACAAGAAATATGTAATTTTTGACTAAATGATCAAAAAGGAAACGTTATTTTAAATAATACTTATTGTTCTACTTGTTGTACTAAAGAATTCATCCACTTAACAGAGGCTAAAATTTAAAAAAAAATTTATCTCCCACGACTTTCTCATTGCCTTTACTTTGTTCGTGCATTTGATCAAATAGACGTGCAACAGTTTATTCTATTTAGTTTTTACAACGACTTGATTTCTCTCTCTCTCTCTCTCTCTCTCTCTCTCTCTCTCTCTCTCTCTCTCTCTCTCTCTCTCTAAATATAAAAAATCTTTTCTTATAATAAGTATGTACCTATATAATGATTTACCCTATTAGAATGATAAATTAAGGAACTTTCAACATAGAAGAAATGAAAAAACTTTATGTAAAACTACTAATAAAGAATGATAAATAATTGAATTTATTATATTTGTTAAGTATTCAAAAATGATAGTGTATTGTATGTTATTTTGCAAATTTGTAAGTTCTTTTCAGAATAGATAATAGATTTATTACAGTTATCTATCTACATCTATAAATAACAATTATTAATAACATTATTAGTAATAATTGATTTTCTGATAACTTAAATTCATTTTTTAAATCATATCTAGGACTGAAAGCAGTGTGTAAAAACTGTACTGAAAATTGTTCAGAGTGAATAATAAGTAGAGAGGTTCCATAAGGATCAACGGTATCATACTTCTTTTTTACATATATTTCAACCAAATATTTAACATAATAAAAATAGTTCATGTGTAATGGTTGTCGATGATCTAAGTATATACAAGGATAAAAAATTACAAAACATAGATAGCTATAAAATTTAAATAAAGACTTAAAAAGTATATCAGAATTGAGTAAAAATCATAGATTAACATAGAATTCAAAGAAGAGAAAAATAAATAAAAATAATTCGACATAAATCTTGATGGAATAGATCTAAAATGTGAAAAATGTAAAAAGTCTTGATATTCACATTTTATCAAATTTGGTTTGGCAGAAACAAAATTTGATGGCATTAAACAAAAAGTATTTGCAAAAAATGTATGCTATATAACTTATTAAAATATAAAACTGGTAATATTTGGTTAATAGTTTTATATTACCCCCATCAACGCTCAGTTAGATTAGCTTGATAAATTTGTCTCTAGATTGATAGAACTGCGAAAGAGCGCGCCTATTACCTATCTTAAGGTCAAAATTGCAGGCGTTTAATGACTTTGATGTCGATAACCTAGACTTTATTCGCTGGGCAGGACGGATAAGACCGAGATCTGACCCTGGATTAGCAACAACACAAAAACAGGTGAGATCCGCTGAAAAACATTTCCTCTTAACATGTTTAACTGTATTGTTCGTAAAATGGTCAAACGCTTAAACTAAATACTTCAAATTGACTTTCAAATTATATGTACCACATATGGACTTTTTTGCTTTTATGAATGTTTTGTTTGATTATGTATACAAAGCTTAAAAAGGAGTCAGCCGCATTGTGCAATTTCCATTATTATCTAGAGCTCCTCATTAAGCGTAAGAGTAAAAAGTTACCACATCCCGAAGCTTTGTTAAGAACTCCACAGTTATCCTTCGGGGGTGGGCTTTTCCTCTCTGGAGTAGGAATCTAAGCTTGCATAGATCTTTGCACGATCATATTTCATACGAACGTGATGGTAATAAAAGACAAAGTAAATTTTGCTTATTAGTTTTTTTAAAATAAATTGTATATAGCAAAACAAGTATTTTTAATAAGGCTGCTTTATTGAATTTAATTTTTTTAATTAGCAGATGTGTTATGCCAGTTGTACGGCTAGAATTTAAAAAGTTCCTTCACTCCTAAGAGAAGTGACATTGAATTAATAATGGCCGAAGATTAGATTATATTTGTGGTATTTTTTTCGGAGCCTTTTCCCCGGCTCCCGTTATCGAAGGCTGCTGCTCCCCGGGCGGGTTGACACTCGATATAATCCCTTAAAAGAAAGTCAGGGTGATATTTCAGCCGGTGATTACGCCGGCTTTTTTTATTCGGGAGGGAGCGAGGAGAACAATAAAACGACGAGAAAGAGAGAGAAAGATGGAGAGAGAGAGAGGCTGACGCGTCGAGGTGAAGGAGAGCGAGAGAGAGAGAGAGAGAGGCTGACGCGTCGAGGTGAAGGAGAGCGAGAGAGAGAGAGAGAGAAAGGCACGGCGGCATAAAGGGAGAAGGGAGTGTTATGGAGGGATGTGGAGAAGTTTATGTGTGATAATTACCATAAAGGCGGCCCCATATCCGGATCCCCAGCTACTGGTCTTCAGCTCAGTTGATTTATTCATATCTGATTTATAAACAGCCGCCCGACTCCCTTCCCATCCACCCAAACCCAAACCCTTTCAACCTCGACTCCGACTATCTTTTCTTCCCTATTTATTTACTCAAAATACATATCTGTTTATTAACGGTGATATTATTGCCTAAATTGGGAAATGGGATACGAATTTACAACTGTTACAAATATATAACAATTAATGTGTTTGTACTTCTGTCAGTCTTGAGTGCATTTTTGTGCATTGCATATTTTCTTTTGGCCTTATATAATCCAACCTCAACGGCTCTGACCAGATTAAAGAATTGATTTTCTATTCGGTTGAACGTACCTATATCATCGACATCATCACAGGCCAAAATCTGTATCGACCTGTGGTGTATTCTCTCTGCTCTCTGGATGTCTTCCCTATTTATTTACTCAAAATACATATCTGTTTATTAACTTAACGGTGATATTATTGCCTAAATTGGGAAATAGTAAACGAATGAAACGAATTTAAAACTGTAAAACCTATAAAAATAATAATTTTTATTTATTACATGACATTTATGTAGATATTTTAGATTTACACATAGAAAAAGACGATTATATAATTTTTAAAACCCTATAACGTGTAATTTAAAATAAGATTTATTACACACATACATTTGATGGAAATTGGTCCAAATCTATGTTAGTTCCATTATCATGATCATATAATGATCATAATTAATATTCGACAATACCACTTTATTTGATTCTTTTCCCCAACGTGAAAACCGTCTAATGCCATTATTTCATTCATTGTTGTAGCTAACATCATAATTAACACGCAATTGTCGAAACGGTCATCATAATCACTTCATCTGCAGTTGTTATCGTGGTACTCGACACATCCTAAAATAATCAAGGCCCAACTCATACGTTCAGCACATATCCTCATCACTTTATTTCTTAACATCGTCATGATTGTTATGTACAAAGCAACCCCATCGCTCCAGGGGTAGTTGTTATCATCATCACAACTATTACTGTTATCTTCATCATAATAATATAAAAACTTTGAAGTTTCAGTAATCAACATACGTAGTTAGTAGCTCTTGCAGGTTAGTTATAAGAAAGTTATAACTAACAATATTTACTTTGTATATTTTTTTAAGTTCATCATATTCATCACCACCATAATTACCTTCCAGCACTTCATTGTATTGTTTTCACAATTTTCACCATCACCTTATTTGATTACTGCTAACATCATCCTCATCATTAGTATCCATTATCATTTTATTTTGTTTTCATTAGCACATACCATCCAACAACGCCATTTTATTTTATTGTTTCCATCTTTATCACTACCATCCAACAGGATCACATTGTTTGTTCGTTGGCATCATCTATAGAATCCAACGCCATCATTTTATTTTATTGTTGCCAACATAATCATAGTCATATAACACTCTTTTTTTTCTTTTTTTTATTACCAACTCATCTTTACCATTAGTATCCAACATCACCATTTTATTTTATTATTTTATTATTTAACATTACCATCGAATAGAATCACTTTTATTGTTGATATCATCATCCTTAGTTCCCGATACTAACATTTCATTTTCTTGTTGTCAACATCATCATATCATTAGCATGCATCATTACTATCTTGTTTTATTTAACACCATTATCATCCAACGTCGCCACCTTACTTGATATTTTACATCCTTATCATTACCATCCACAGAATCACTTTAGTTGATTGTTGACATCATCATATAATACCATCACTTTGTTGGTGGCTTTGATTGTAACAACCTTCAAGACCATCTTAATAATCGCTTAATCCCACCACTGTAATATTTCCAGCACTGATATTGGTCGTTTTCGTTCATCCGTCTGTCTTCTTTAATTAGTTTCACCATCATAATTATCATCCAAAAACTCTACTGTAGCAGTTGTCCAGGAAACAACATTTAACAACCATTGTTGTTGTCGACCTTATAATCATTCGATACACTATCACCACTATCTAATATTATGGTTGGGGCATCGTCATTTTACTAATGAATATCGGCCCAAACCTCCATGTATAAGTCGTCATTCCGCCATTGGCTCTCTCACAATACACATTCACGCTAATAAATACATTCAGTCTCAACATACACAAAAAACACATGGTTAAACAGCTATGTTTCCTCTAAAAATCGGAACAGAGGACCACAAGTATTTTGCCAAAGAAATATCCCTAATTTATTAATTTTAGCTATATATAAATAGTATTTTTTTACTGAACATACAATCTCGCTATTTAGACATGTCATTCGGGTTCTGTCAGATCAAAACAACAAAGCACAGTAGAGGGACCAAAATGGTCGGAAACGACTAAGCTACACATTCATCACCTCGCAGTCCTCGTGAAAAAATCTCACAACTTTCTGTTATTAACTCGTATAAAAAAATTGACTTAATAATAAATTATATAAACAATTAGAAATAAATAATTAAAAATAGCAGGCCATTTTATTTTTTAATCATCAATAATATTATGTTTTGTAATGACCATGAGAGTTATCACTGAGGTAGCATGGAGTTTCCCGCCGAGATACGGACGTGTGAACTTTTTCTTATTTTCATGAGTCGTGTTACATCCTCATACCTCATGTTGTTCATTTGAAAAAGTGATGATGTGAGTGATGATTTGAAACCTTTGTCATGTCAGCACAACCTAAGAGTAGCGGTGACCGCGGTGGCCGGGGACGCGGGGCGGGTCAGCCTAGAGGACGCTATCGCGGCCGGCCCTTCTGGCTCAACAAGCCCTTAGGTAAAAATAAGTCAAGAACAAAATAAAAAACAAAAGAATTATATATGTTATAAAATTTTAATATTGCAATAAAATAATAATAATTCGATCTGTGTACATTTTAATATTGACCTAATACTACATATATAGAATATATATCTTTAATAAAATATCTCTTGTGATGGTATCTAAGTAGGTAAAGAAGTTCACTTTACATATTAGGAGCTTCTGCATCCCTCTTAAATTTTTATGTATTGAGGTTTATTCAAATTATGCATGTCAAAAAGAGGTTTGGTTGTAAAAGTAAGACATTTAAATAGAATATTATTATTACATAATTCTAAAAAAAATTCAAAAACAAGTAAAAATGTGAAAAAAAACTTTTTGTCCTCTTTAATACTGAGTATTTCCACCTTGTTAAAAAATAAAAGATTGAACAACACACTCACTCCACCATTCATCTTTTCTATTTCCACCTTTTACACAAATCACAACCGTTAAACGCCTTTGCTTTCCCTGGAAAAGATTTCTGGTAAAATCTTGAGGACCTCTTTCTCATTCATCAAAAAGAGCAGTATTCAGTTCTTCTAAGGTATTAGGACCTAGGTTTCCCTATTGTACTCAACGCTTAAGTTGGTGCCAAATGTGTTCAAATCTGGACTTCGATCTGGCCACACCAAGCACTCAATTCCAGCCACAGGTAGTCATCCACAGTACATACTCCATGGGGCTTGGCATTATCCTGCATTAGCAAGAATCTCTCACCGATGTGGAGAGCAAATGGCACTACATGTTCTTATGTCTTGTAAGTACTTCTGTGAAGTTACAGATCTTCCTTGCACACCAACCAGTTTGGTGTGGGCGTCTAAGGAAATGCCATCCCAGAACATCAATGACCCACCTGAGGAATCATACAGCATGGAGCGTACCTTTCTCCCAAGCGTCTCCACATGAAATTTTAGCCATCTGAAGATTTGAGAACAATTCAACTCATCTGCTAAGAGATCTCGTCCCCAATCTTCCAAAGTCCAATTTACATTACATATTCTCGTGAGAATAGAAGCCTGACCATTTTCTGAGCTGTGGTAAAAAGTGGTCCACGAGCTGAGTGCCAGGGCTTGAGGTTATTTTTATTGTCCCTTCTTACAGGCCTGGAGAAAATCAAAACATTTGGGACTTGCCTTATCAGATTTTTTATTTCATTTCCTGTAAGGCTGTAGTAAGTAGAGCCTGATGACAAATGAATCTACGTTTATCATGTCCATAGAATTAGGTTAACCCTGTCCTGACCTAGTGTGAAACTCTTGTGTCTCTGAAGTGTGGAAGAACCCTTCCTATTGTGGTGATTTATATTCAGACTCCTGGTGACTTTGCACTGGCTTTATCCTTCCTTTAATAATGCTATGACCCTGACATTGCCATACTCACTCCAATGCCTGACTGGAGCCATTGAAAAAGGTTTAAGAATAACAATTATAACGAATAAAATCAACAAAGGAAAATGATTAACTGAATGTGATCTTTAGGCGAGGCAGGATGGAAGGACATAGTGCTACTTTTTGTATTAATGGGATTGATCAGTACAAAAGTAAATAAAGCATTATTTACTGTGTATTTTTACTACAATAGCTCCTAATTATCAGTAACTAATATAGAAAGATAATGGATTTATAGAATGGAATAGAAAGATAATTTTAAACTAAATAAATTGAGTGGTGCGTTAAATTTGTCCCTCAGTTCATCATGTCCCTCATCAAATGATTAGTGTGTTTGTACTTTTGCCAGTCCTGAGTACTTTTTTGTACATTGCATATTTTCTTTTGGACTTATTAAATAATAATCCAACCTCAAAAGCTCTAATCGGGCTAAGGAATTGATTTTCTATACAGTTGAATGTGCCTATAATATTGACATCATCATAGGCCAAAATCTATATTGTCTAATACTTTTCAAAAGGATAGTTCCTACTCACAGTAAGAACTCACATAACTCCTACTCACACTATATTGTCTTGTGGTGTATTCTCTCTGCTCTCTGGATGTTGTCTTTGCGTATCATATGTACCATATATGTTTCACAAAACTGCATGTTACTACTAAAATTACATGGTACAAGGGGAAATTGGCAGGAGAAACACCCAATAACTATTGTATCACAAAAGTTTTACCTCCATACCAACAGATTAATGGTCTTATTTAAAGCTTTAAAGGTAAGATCTTTAGAAGGTTCCTTCCTAATGATCCTATAAGAAGCCAAAAAAAAAATTTGGTGAGCAAAGAAAGCATTGGGGTCACATTCAGGCTTGAAGGACAAAAAAATTACATGCTTCAGAATTAGTTAAAGAGTTGGTATCACATTTGCTCTGGTTAGAGTCTCTTACAAGCTGCAAAACAGTGGTTGTGGTCCGGGTATCTGAACGCTTATGTCTGAAGGGTAATGAAAAGGCGGCTAAGGCCAGGACATACAACCTCCAGACTTAGCCAGTGTGATTTGCCCTGATGCTAAAACTGCAATAAAAAACTTGATTAAAAGTAAGCAGCAGTGTCAGTGGGCCGGATTGACAGAGAAGCTCTCATGTATCAAGAGCATTGTAGATCGGCGGGCTTCGAAGGATCTGACTCGTTGAAGAAGGAAAGGTCATCCTGATATAAATTCTTGCTAAAATTGACTGAAAATTGATTTAATGTTAATTTTTTAATCATCACATTAAATAATTACAATTACATTGTATACACTTTTTACAGCTGACCCAGTGGTTGAGGAAAGTGAAGTGAACTACTGTAACATGATGACTGAAACGACATGCCCATTGAAAGGATGGAATTTGTATTTCCCAGATGAGAGTAAGTTTTTATTTAGAATGAATTGAGTTCTGGTTAAAAACAGACTTACATTTATGGTATTTTAGTTAGAATAGTTTTTTTTTTAATTTTTTATTCTGACAGTAATTCAATTTTATTTTTTAGATTATGAAAGTAGTTCAGTGACTACCCAAAATGTTCTCCAAGCTATAAGGTATTTTGAGAGGCATTCAGATTCTATTTCTTTGAAAGAAATTGAGGCCAAAAACTATTACAATTTGGATTTAACTGTTGTCCAAGAAGATACGGTTTTTATGAACAGTTGGCCAAATTTCATTGAGGACCTGCGTGAGAAACCGGATCATAGCTTGAATTGTCTTGGTCTAGCATTTCACCATGTATGTTTTTCTTTAGGCCAAGTAAACAAAAAAAAAAAAAAAATTGAATTGTTGCAGGTTGTAAACAACATGGATTCAAATGAAGAGGATTTTGAGTTCCCTCAGCTTTACATTCGCATCAAGAACTTCAAACCAGTTGTGTCACTCAGAGATATCAAAGCGTGTTTGTACGGTAAACGCGTGATTGTAATTTTGGCTTGGGAGCATATTTTATTCTAATTTCCTACTTAGGAAAGTTGATAAGCGTGAAAGGCACTGTTATAAGAGTTGGTCCATCACGCCTTTTATGCACAAGGATGGGCTTTGCTTGTACTCAGTGCCGTACACCGCAGGTTCTCACTCTGAAAGATGGGGTGTACATAACACCCAAGTCCTGCCCTTTGAGAGAATGCCGGTCGAAAACGTTTTCCCCGCTACACTCTTCCCACCTCACGAAAACGAAAAACTTTCAGATTGTCAAAATTCAAGACATGATAGGAGATTGTGATGCACATGTAACTTTTTTGAATAATTTGGACAGGTTTTTTATACATTTTTTTTTATTAGTGATATGCCGTTTTAGAGTGCAGGAGGTAGAGTTCCTAGAAACATAGAAGTTGAGTTTGTAGATGACCTTGTTGACAAATGCTGTCCTGGTGATAGCGTAATCATCACAGGGATTGTTAAAGTAAACTTATTTTATATGCACCATGCACAAAATATTGCACAATCTCATATTTGGGAGAAAAAATGAAATTTGAGAAAATTTCAGGTAAATACAAGTGATGAAGGGAAAAGGAAGAACTCGCCAAATTTATTCACACTCTTTTTGGAGGGTGTGTCTGTGACCAACAGTAAAGGTTCAGGAGGAAGATACGCTCAAGCCAACCTGGAGTTTACATTGAAGGATTACTATGCCATACAAGTATACATTTTACATGTTTTAATCTGATAATTTTGTGTAATTATTTTTCAAATATCTATAATATTGCATGCTACAATAAAATCATAAAAAGTAATATTTAAATAAGGCTTTTCAATTTGACAAAGACACAGCCACCGGTTTGAAGCCCTCTTATAATGGTTGAGAATGCAATCTGAAATATTATGTACTCACTCATATACATGTATGTTTCATTGCTTTAGTTAATAACTACTTGACCACGTCAACCAGGCTTCGACCCTAGGCATCTAAAACTCAGATTTTTGTACTTATAAGTGCATTCTTGATTGAACAAAAAACAATAGAAGTTGTATCAACTCTTGAAGAAGATGGCATAGTCAGGTTTTTTGGTTTTTTTTTTTTTTCAAGGATTACATTTTTTTTGGAAAGAATGAATTTAATTGTTCTACTGATTCAAATCTCTTAAATCTCCACACCTATACAACTGCATTAAAAATTTCTACTTTTGTAGTTAATGGCACATTTTTTTTTTTCAAATAAAATTGAATAAGTTAAGTTCAACCCAAATTTAGCAGCAGTTTGAAGCTTTTTGTCCAAATGTCTAATAGAACTTAAGAAAGTTTAAAGTAAAAATTCAACTAATTGTACCAGACTTCTGCTTATGAACTATTAAATGAAACTATTAATAAAGAATAATTCTAACAAATGAGAGGTCAAACCACTTTACAATATTTTTTCATATTACATTACTCATAAAAGCCAAGGGGGATTTAAACCCAGAATCACAAGTGTGGCAAAAATAAGTTAGACATCATACCACTTGGCCACTGCAACTATTATTTGATTTCTTCCTTTTACTACTATATATGATGTTGATGATCATGACAGAAGATTAGGAAGTAATTCTACTACATATATCTATACAGACCCAACACTGAATAAGGTCCAGACAATGCCCAAATTACAGGTTCATATCATGTAGTGAACCATAGAGAAATCTCACCATTTGCTTTTTTAAACACTGCTTTTTTTTCTCTTTTTTTAAATTGCTTTATTATTTCAAACCCAAATTGCCACCATGGGACCTGGTCCCCTGTAAATCATTATATTATGATTTAAAATGTCTTGCAAAGCTTTTGGTACAGGACAATATATTAAGCATATTTGACCAGGACAGTTAGTTTTGGCTAAAAATGTCAGTCCTTGATGTTCAATTTGTGTTTTTATGCAGGAATTGCATGATGAAAAATCATTATGGCGTTTGCTTGTGAACTCAATCTGTCCAAATGTCTATGGGCATGAACTTGTTAAAGCTGGCCTGCTTCTGTCCCTCGTTGGTGGGGCAACACAAGGAACAGGGCAGATCACCAAACGACCATTGATCCATGTCCTCATAGTCGGCGACCCAGGTCTAGGAAAGTCACACATGCTCACTGCTTGCAGTACAGTCGCCCCAAGAGGTTTGACAACTTCCTATTGTTCAACAATTCAACTATTAATTATAACTTTTTTTAAAGGTGTGTATGTCTGTGGGAACACAACGTCAGCCTCGGGACTAACCGTCACCCTGACTAAGGAAGCAGGTGGAGATTTTGCTCTAGAAGCCGGCGCTCTTGTTCTTGCAAACCATGGAGTCTGTTGTATCGACGAATTTGATAAAATGTCTTCTCAACATCAGGTTGAATTTCAGTATAATTCTAATTGTTTTTTTTTCTGATGGTTATTTTTTAAAGGCTCTCCTAGAAGCGATGGAGCAAGAACGGTTGAGTGTAGCGAAAGGAGGCGTCGTCTGTTCTTTACCTGCTCATACCACAATAATTGCTGCTGCAAATCCTGCTGGTGGGCATTACAACAAAAGCAAATCATTGGTTGAAAATTTACGTATGTCATCTCCACTCTTGTCAAGATTTGATCTAATCTTTGTACTACTCGACAAACCGAACGAGGTTGGTTTTTATTTAATATTAATATTGCAATTTTAAATTAATTATTTTTATTATGTGATTTGTTTTAGCATTTGGATAGCCTACTTTCAGAACATGTTATGGAACTGCATGCTGGGTTGAAAAAGAAAAAAGTACCAATGTACATGTCATCGCTCTCATTGAGTTCATGTCTTGATGAAACTATAGTTGACAACAACATGACATTATTGTAAGTAGTAATAGGTTTCAAATCTTAAATTAAAAATCAATCAATGCACGCTCATATTTATTCAATCATATAAACAATCGTTTATATAATTTGGTCATTTTGAACTGAACTATCCTTGCAGTTTTCATTTCAGAAACGTTTCAGCTACTATCTTAAGTGGTGGGTTTGATGTTTATTTTCTCATTTGTGTATAATTGTATGTCTAAAGTTCAAAACCTAATTTTCATTGTTACTATAATCAGTCTTCAAGAATCAGGTGACTAGGAGAACACTAATAATGACTGAAGAGTTTGAAAAGCCAAAATGCTTCTGACCGACCAAAACAGGAAGGGTAGACAGACAGAAATGATCAATAATGACCAAGTTACATGATTATTTATTATTGACAAAATGATTTTTGTATTTCTATAATTAATTGCCTATCTGTTTAGGCAGAGGTTAAAAATTCCACCTAATGAACACATAGAATTGATACCTCACCAGCTTCTCAGAAAATATATCGCATATGTTAAGAAATACGTCCCTTCACCAAGATTAAGCCCAGAAGCAGCTAATGTCTTACAAAAGTTCTATCTGGAACTAAGAGAGAAGAGCAAGCAAAAAGACAGTACACCTATAACAACTAGACAGTTGGAATCGATGATTCGACTCACTGAGGTTTTTATAAAAATACATCCAATTTTTTTTCCTAAACTGTATTTTGTGATTCCTTTCTTAGGCTAGGGTCAAAGTCGAGCTTCGAGAAGAAGCGACAGAAAGAGACGCCAGGGATGTCATCGAGCTTATGAATTCGACGTTGATGGACATTTATTCTGATTCTGATGTTGTTGATTCGCGGAAGAAAGTTGGCTCTCAGACTTCAAGGGTAAATCTTGTAAATTTTACAACATTGGGGTGATGTAAAGTGATTCATTTTTCAGGCTAAAAAATTCATCGCAGGTTTACAACAGAAATCATCTCTTGAGAATAAAACGTTATTCACGCTGAACGAATTGAGGGAGCTTTCAAAAGTGCTCAATATTCAAGTGCCTGATTTTTTCTCTTTCATTGAAACTCTGAACAACCAGGGTTTCTTGCTAAAAAAGCCAAACAAATGCTACCAGTTGATGACTGTTTGAAAAGAAAACAAAACCTGTACATGTATATAAATTAAAAATAACAATCCTTCCTAGCTCAAGTCACGAATCTCTTTGTTTCCTCCTTTTCTCAACTTTTAAATTTAAAGCCTAAAGATCGTTTTTAGTTAATCTTTTTCCTTCGTCCATTTTATTCGATGGGCATTGGAGTGAGTATGACAGTATCAGGGTCATAACATTTTTAGAGGCAGGATACAGGGTATAGGATAGGCAGGCCAGCACGAAGTCTCCAGGAGAAAGTGATAAATCACTACACAATAGGAAGGATTTCAGAAAAACAGGGCTTCACACTAGAAGGTCAGAACAGGGTCAGATCAATCAGGCTCTATGAAACTGAAACAAAATCTGATAAGACCAGTCCAAAATATTTCAATTCCTCCAGGACTGTAAGAAGAAGACTCAATGAAAATAACCTCAGGGCACCATTATCTTTCTACATTAGTTACTGATAATTAGGAGCTATTGTAGTAAAAATACATAGTAAATAATGCTTTATTTACTTTTGTACTGATCAATACCATTAATACAAAAAGTAGCACTATGTCCTTCCATCCTGCCTCGCCTAAATATCACTTTCAGTTAATCATTTTCCTTTGTTGATTTTATTCGTTATAATTGTTATTCTTAAACCTTTTTCAATGGCTTCAGTCAGGCATTGGAGTGAGTATGGCAATGTCAGGGTCATAACATTATTAAAGGAAGGATAAAGCCAGTGCAAAGTCACCAGGAGTCTGAATATAAATCACCATAATAGGAAGGGTTCTTCCATACTTCAGAGACACAGGGCTTCACACTAGGCCAGGACAGGGTTAACCTAGTTCTATGGACATGATAAACGTAGATTCATTTGTCATCAGGCTCTACTTACTACGGCCTTACAGGAAATGAAATAAAAAATCTGATAAGGCAAGTAAGTCCCAAATGTGTTGATTTTCTCCAGGACTGTTAGAAGGGACAATAAAAATAACCTCAAGCCCTGGCACTCAGCTCATAGACCTCTTCTTACCACAGCTAAGGCAAGCTTCAATTCGCACAGGAAGATGTAAATTAGACATTGTAAGAATGGGAATGAGTTCTCTTTACAGATGAGGTGAGAGTTGGTCTCAAATCTTCAGGTGGGCATAATTTCATATGGAGATGCTCAGGAGAAAGTTACACCCCATGCTGAACGGTTCTTCAGGTGAGATTCTATGGTGGGTCATTTATGTTCTGGGGTGGCATTTCCTTGGATGCCCACACCAAATTGGTTGTTGTGCAAGGAAGATCTCTATTACAGAAGTACCTACAAAACATAAGAAAATATAGTGCCATTTTGCTCCCCACATGGTGAGAGATTCTTGCTAATGCAGGATAATGCCAAGCCCCATGGAGTATGTACTGTGGATGACTACCTGAGGCTAGAATTGAGTGCTTGGTGTGGCCAGGTTGAAATCCAGATTTGAACCCAATCAAACACATTTTGGAATAACATAAATGATGAGTACAATAGCAAAACCGTCCTTACACCTTAGGAGAATTGAAAACTGCTCTTTTTGATGAAGGAGAAAGAAGTCCTTAGGATTTTACCAGAAATCTTTTCCAGAGAAAGCAAAGACGTTTAACGGATGTGATTTGTGTCAAAGGTGGAAATAGAAAAGATGGTGGAGGTGGAGTAAGTGTGTCATTCAATCTTTTTAAAAATAAGATAGAACTACTCTATATTAAAGAGGACAAAAAAAGATTTTTTTTTCACATTTTTTTAATTTATTTATTTATTTATATTTTTTTTTAACTACATAATAATAATTTTCTTTTTAAATATCTTATTTTTACAACCAAACCTATTTTTGACATGCAAAATTTGAATAAACCTAAATATAAGGTTAATTTAATAACAATTTAAGAGGGATGCAGAAGCTCCCAATAATACCGAGGACAAGTTGGAAACTGCTGTTTTTGATGAATGGGAAAAACTTATTCAGGATTTTGCCAGAAGTTTTTTCAAGGAAAGCAAAGATGATTAACGGGTGTAATTCATGTCAGAGGTGGACATGCTCTGTATTAAAGAGGACAGATAAGTTTTTTATTTTTGACTCAATAATTTTTTTAAAATTAGGTAATAAACACTTTCTTTCTAATTGCTTTATTTCTAAAGAACCTAAATACATTAGAATTTAAGTGTAGTGCGTTGTTTCCATCAGTGAGAAATGTTTAGTGAGAAATGTTTATAAACTTATATAAATTTCCAAAAAAATTATGGCTGTGTTCTTCCTGGGGCTGGGTGGGCAGTTTTGCTTCCTGGGTCTGGAGAGGGTGTTTCGTTTCCTGGGAAACTTGTTCCTGTTTTAAGTCAGACTGGGCAATCAGGTCGGATGGTCTTACTGGCATTTGCACACAGGCAGTTCCTCAAACCCGAGCCTTAGTAACTTAACTTAAAATCTGGGGTACAATACCACCAGGTACAGGGAATTTATTTCCAGGGGGTTTACTGCTCGCTGCTTGGCCGGGGGGGGGGGGTGCCGCCCCCTCTTCTGTGAGAGCCCAATCCTGGAAATCATAGCATCGAAAAACAAGAGATTGATCTGAAGAAAACCAGTACCACTGGTAGTACAAAGGTTATGAGAACTGTTGATGTTTTTCGAGTTAAAATAAAATAAAAAATTCATCGGTGTAGTTGTTGGAGCACCCCTTTTCCAGGTTAATTAGTCTAGACTGAAAATAAACACACGTTCAGAATAGATTCTATGCTAAATTTTTTGGTCGTCTGCGAATAGGAGAAAGTGTGGTCATTAAGAGCAGACGGAATATCATTAATGAAGATATTAAATAAAAAGGGGCCTAAGTGTGATCCCTGGACTACTACACGTCATAGTTTTTCTTGTTGATTAAAGTTTATAGTTGCAAGATATTGTATTGTTAATCAATTCAGCGCATTATTTTAATTTAAAAGGTTTGCATCTATATCGTTGAAGGAAATGGAATTTTTTCTGCGTGTATGTACGCGCGCGTGCAAATTTTAGCGAATGTAAAACAGTAATCAGTAAAATTGAGACAAACTTACATCACCCGGTTACAAATTAGTTCGTTTTAGCCAATTTTTTCTGTACAAAATCTGCACTTTTGTAATTTTTTTCACCGTTAAAAAAAGTTTCATACTGGTACTTCGGAAGTCGGCTAGTGCCATATCAATCATAAATGGCGTCTTGGCATTGATGATGAAATCTCACAAAAAATTTCCCCGTTTTAATTTCTATGCTAGTCCCCATGGCGTAATGTTTCAGGGGGGAAAGATTTATTTCAGTTTCCGTTTTACTGTGTAGAATTGGTTTACATGACAAAAGATCATTTAATATTTTAAAGAAATGTAAACGTACAAGCAGAGCCATCTGGATTCGGCCGAGCTCCCCCCTCCACGAGAAGCGAAACCCCAACACCAGCCAGCATTTTATGCGAAGGTTCGACGGCCTAGTTTTCATAATTTTTCTCTTAAAATTCTCGTGGTTTTTTTGTGCTTGGCAAAGTCCGTCGTCGCGAGAAATGCGACAAAGTCCTCTCCGCCAACTCCAGCGACAGGGACGGTGAGCCTTGGAACGACATCCGCCGATTCGCCTATGCAAGAGTGAAACGGGTCAAATCAAATGCCGCCGGGCTCTTCTCGTTAAAATGATGAGTAAGATCCTCAATACGATCTGGTCTTATTTTCCCTGGACGAGAAATCACACATCCCACAATTCTGTCAAACGATCAAGGTGAGTTGCAAAACCTTAAGCACAATGTATATAAATAACATGTACCCATCAATCAAAAGAGACTTTTCCCGTTTTCCTGAGTTATTTTCATAAGAAACAATGATTTTTTAAGTTCTGCTATTACAGATTTTAAGTATTTATTTGTGTATTGTTTTTATAATTGCCTTTGAGAGGTTTCAATTGTAACCTTGTCCGGAGTAGGTTATTTGTTTATGGGGTCACAAGAGGACTGTGCCGGGAAAAAGGGTCCGTTCGAAAAAAAAGTTATTCGTTTTCGTTTTTCATTATTGGGCATGAATTATTTTTGGTCGAGCTTTTCGATCGAACGGCTCCGCCGGTCTCGGTTCGATGATATTTAAAAACTTTGTTTATTGCAGAGAAGTCTTCGGGGACGACGAGGAGCTTTTACCGGTTCCGGTGAAAAGGCAGAGGCTTACGAGGAATCCGCAGGTTTTATCAGGTTAGTTTTTCTTTTTACATTATTTTACTAAACGCCTAGGTCTAGACGATAGTCGATAATACTTTGTAAATTCGACGGTCTTGGATTATTCGTGCCTTCTATTTAGCTAGATAGATTAGTCAGACCTATTTGAAAATTAAGTAATCAACTGGGCCCGACTGACGAAGTTGGAATTTCTGAAGTTGATCAAACAAAACATCAATTTTAGGTTTTTAGTCCAGACCAACTCATCACAAACCTTGTTCCATCTCATTACCTTGTTCATAATGATGATGATGAGGAGGAGGAGGATGAGGAGAAGGATACTAGGAAGTGGGGTTTGTGCTCCCTAGCAGCCTTCTGGCTTATTGTACCTTGCTAGTTCCCTAGTTCAGTGCAAATAACTCAGTCCTTTTCAGAAGTATTATGTTATTAATTTTTGCTCCAACTTTCATTCCCTAGCTATTTTCTGTATGATGATTAATATGAATAATAAAATTTTGTGTAATAATACAGTTAAGCTGCACTAAGGTGAAACACATATTGACCTCTTCGAAAGACAAGTTTTGACCAGGCCTTAAATAACTTATTTTATTTAGTAGCCCACAACACATAGGGTGATGATGATGAGAATACTAGGAAGCAGGGTTTATGCTCCCCAGGCACACAGCCTTTTGGGTTCCTAGTTCCCTAGTTCAGTGCAATCGACTAAATACTTCTTCTCAAAAGTATTAAGTCATTGACTATTGCTGTTACAATTTCATTCCATAGGTTTTCCTCTATGCTAGGTTATTTCTCCAATGAGCCATTGCTTCACATTTGAATATGATATGTGTGGCAGTTTCTTCCTCCTCATTACATAATCTGCAAATGGGATCATCATTGATGCCAGTGACCAGTTTATATTCCTTTCACTCCTCTGAGTCTGACCTTCTCAACTGCAGCTGAGTTTGCCAGTGTTGGTGAGGGTTGTTTTTAGCATATGTTTACTGTGTCTAGCGCTGCCAGTTTATCCACTTCTCCCACCCCTTCAAAATACAATGTATGTAAACATAAAACATTAATATCTCACTGGAATTCTCAACACGACACACAATAATGACACATCTACGCAGAAAACAAACACTTTGAGTGAGAACAAATACATTGATTGAATCTAAAATTTCTATTATTGTATAAATCGTTTTTTCACATCCTACATGTATTTGTATAATTTAAACATTGCTTATAAATCAAATTAAAGATTGAAACATTAGCATGATAAAAAAAAATGTTTTTTTATTTTTACGTCACACTAGACCGCATCTCACAATCTCCAAATAATCATCTATTAATGGTCACTAAACACCACACATTGCACCTAATGCTTTCCTGAGTTCTTCTTCTACTTTATAGTCTGTTTTAGACTTTATATTATACCTTATATTAATATATACACGTGTACATAACAAGTTTTGCAAAACAGTTGCATGAGTGATTTTCGCGCAATGGAACCCCAGCTTGTGTGACCATACTTGAAACCCACCTCTGAACTGAAACACCGAACACAGAAACTGTGCAGACCTACATACCAAAATGTTTGAGAAAAAGGATCATCACCCTGCTGTCCTCAAAAGAAATCTTACAATTTTCTTTATAGTCAAGTCTTATAGAGCAACATACTCCATTTTTTAATCGTTGACTATGAATCAGCGATGTGGTCTATTTTACAATTAATTACTTTTCTGACCAATAATGGTTGACCCACAGCATAAATATTACCTTTACCAAGCATCACCACGGATTACTAGGAACCGTGGATATTAAGAAACACCTCAAATTTAAGGTTTGGAGGTATTTTCTTCCATCTGTATACCAGTCAGACAATTTCTGTATAGTGTTACCATTATTAGTTAATGTTATAAGTGAACTTATGTACACATATTTCCAGTGTTTTTCCATAAAAATTCAATTTTTTTGATTCACCATGTTCTCACTCTCCTCTAGAACTGGGCAGTGTGCAACTGTGTATCTGTGAATGTACAGATTGACATTGTTAAGTTAGATACATATAAATAGTATGTTCAATTTTATCTCAATTGAGAGAATAATCATAAATAGGAAAAAGTGTATTTAAGATTGTGAATGGATTTAGATGTAAAAACTGATGCGTTGGGGGCTGAAATGACCTAAAAACATCCTCTGGATCTTTGGTGGTAGGACAGATAAGACCAAGGTTTAACTGTCAAGCCCTAGGTGGGTGTTTCTTATTGTCTGTTGGTACTTAACAAAAGCAGGTATTGCCAGCAGGCCGTGAGAAGTCATAGGTTCTAGTCTGTATGTTAATTATCCTTATGTATGTACATATATAGGCTGAATTGAAATTATATATTATTAAATCTAATCTTGAAATATTAATTATATAAATCAGTAATCAGAACATTATGCCTTACGATGAAATTATTGAAATATGTCTGCAATGCATGAACCTATGGTCCATCTAAATATCAAGTAATTTTTGGCCTTTTGTTTTACAGACTTCAATAAACAACCAAGTGGTTTCCAAAAAATTGAGGTTTGTAGTTCATTGTTACTTTTCATTTTTTATCATAAATCAACCTTCTCTAAACAGTTTTCCTAATTCCCAGGTTATCGATTTGACGAAACAGCAATCAAATAATTTGAGAAAACGTAACTTAGGCTTATCAAATGAAATTGTATTAGATGAAATAATTATCAAAGATGATGATGATGATGAAATAGTCAAGGAAAGAAAACCAAAATTTTTCTCAACAAAATACGAAAACGTTTTGAAGGAAAACATACTTAGTGTTCAAAACAAGAGCAGCTGTGTAAGTTTTTTAAAAATAAATAATGATAATAATATTTTTGTTGGGTAATTATCCATTGTTGTGATTGTCATATTACAGGCTGACATTTTAAGCCCGAGCAAGTTTAAAAATAAACACAAAGCTCCTAGACACATCAGATCTCCGACAAAAATTAGAAATCGTTTTTGTCTACTTTCTAACAGTTCTACTGGTACGATTAATCTTTTTCTTTACTCTTCATAAAGGATTTTTTAAATTTTAATTATGTTTTAGAAATTGTTGATCCAATAGCATCTCAAAATACATTTAGAAGGGTACCTATTGGATTGAGACCTTCCAAAATGTCAGATGCGAGCAGTACAAGCCAGAATTCTATCAACATGAATTCAAGAAGGGTAGGCCAAAATTTTTGTTGTTTATCACTACAAAATTTACTAATCTCGTACTCTTCCCCCCAGTCTTATATGCACTTCACCAATGGGAAGCGTATTCAGGATTTCACCAGAGATGATTATTCCCGGCTACTCGGGACATTCATCAGTGCAAATTCTAAGATTAAAACCAAAGATAAAACTACTACAGAAATTATGTGAGTTTGATATTTTTTGAGCATATTTGTATTTTATTCTACCTAAATTATTATTTTTGGTTGTGTTTGCAGAGATTTGGATGATGTGTCTGACAGTGAAACTGAGAAAAATAAACAAGTGGAAGAAACTATCATTATAAGTAAGCTTTTTGATCACTTTGTTCATTGATGTAATTTTTCATTTATTAATTTGTTCATCTTTTATTTCAGATGATGATGACGATAGCAACACAGATAAACTAAAGTTAATTAGCACCCCAAAAGTGTCGAGGGTGAACAGCTTCTCTCAGAAAATTGAGAAACACAACGAAGCTACAAACAAAATGCTAGAATTGTAAAACTATTATATATATTTTTTTAATAAAGAGACATTTGGTTTTAAACCTTTAATAAGTAAATTTATAATTTTAGAACTGCTAAGGTGTCAGCCTCAAAAGAGAAATTTGAATTTATGAGGAACCAGTACACTGAACTTTGCTACAAGCACCAACTGCTTCGGTTCAAGTCGGTTCAAGATGCATTGAACGAGAGAATAAAAGACTACCTTAAAATCACTGAAACAGTTCTTGACACTGAAGGGATTGAAGCGTTGCCTGAACTTACTCCTAAAATGCAGGTAAATACAACTTTAAAGTGTAATGTAAAAGTTGTTAATATATTTTTATTTCTTCAGCAAAGAATTGATGAAGCATTCCGACCACAGCCAGAAAATCAAGTCATGGTCTCTAAGTTTAATTACAATGTGACGAGGAGGGACTTAAATTGTCTGACAAGGTTAAATTGGCTTAATGATGAGGTTAGTTACTTATGAATAAAATATCACGAAATTGTTAAAATAGTTACAGCAAACATTTAATCTGACAAAATGCTTTGAGCTTTAAATCTTCTTTATAATATTTAATCACTTTTTATAATTAATTGTATTTACTACTTTTATCTGTCAGTGAATAACCAATTAGCTTTGCATTGATCATATCATTATGTAATTTCCTAGGTAATCAACTTTTACATGGAGTTGATAATTGACAGAGGCAAACTAAAACCCAATTACCCCCCTGTTCATACCTTCAGCACATTTTTCTTCCCAAGGTTGAAACAGAGCGGCTACACAGGAGTTAGACGCTGGACACGAAAGGTAAGTCAGAAAATTATTTTACAAGATTGTTGTTTATGTCAAAGTAATTGGCCTAAAGGTTCATGTTTCCATTGAAATGCTGCCCACAGTCCCTCGCCCCTAAACAGGCCGATAAGCTTGGAGCTTGCTCCTTTCATAACTTGCTCTCAGGCTGCCGAGAAGAATTTCCATCTTTGCTACTTGCTTGCATTAAGACTTAGAAGTTATTTTCAGTTTAATTTTCTTTTAATTTAAAATTATGGGAGTGAAATCTGCCATCTGCCAATAGAAAAGATTCAGACTAGCAGGTGTGGTAGTAGTCTAAGCCATCATATTATCCAGGGCCTTGGTTATGTTGAGGGTATAGGTGCAGCATTGCTGGGTACCGAAAAGAAGATTGGCGAGGAGGACTACATGCCCATTCACCTCAGGTGTTGGGGTTTTATTTAATTATTGGTTTTGCAACTATTTAACAATGCCTACAATAGTTGAAAACAATTCGAGACATTTAATATAAATAAGCTTTTATTTCTCTTTTAGGTCGATGTGTTTCAAAAAGACATGATCCTTGTCCCAATCCATCTTCATGTACATTGGTGCATGGCCTGCATACATTTAAAGAAAAAAACTATCAGCTTTTATGACAGTATGGGCTCAACTGATCCAGGAGTCCTGAGTGTGAGTTTTAAATTTTCTTTTTAATCATTACAATTTGTATAGCTGGGCTATCTTGAATTATGTTATTCAGTGTACCATGTATTTTAAAGTGTTAGTATTAAAATAATCTTAAGGTTATTAGGTTACATTAAATATTTTTGACCTTTGCAGCTCCTACGAGATTATATTCAGAGTGAGCATCAGGACAAGAAGAATGCACCGTTTGATACATCAGACTGGACGCTGACTTCAGTAACGGTAACACAAACTTCTTACTTTTTTCTTTTTTTTAAATCATGTCAGTTTGTACTCACATGCTTTTTCTATTTTGTAGAACATACCGCAACAGAAGAATGGAAGCGATTGTGGCGTATTCGCCTGCACGTTTGCCGAGTTCCTTGCTAGAGACGCCACTTTCATTTTCAGTCAAAAGGACATGCCTTATTTTAGAAGAAAGATGGCTTATGAGATCTTAGAAGGCTCATTACTGACATGAATTAAAATAGAGAGAGAGTGCACACCTGGTTATTTGGGACTTTTTTTATCTGAATAAACTGTAAATATTAAAAACTTTGGTATTTTGAATACTACCGCAGTCGTAATTATTCAGACTTTTTTAAATAAATAAATTTATTACTCATTCACTTTGTAAACTATACATATTTAATATTTTTCATTTGTCTTCATGAGCTAAATAGTTTAAAATGTATATTTTGTATTTTCTATTGAAATTTTTGTATTACATTTTCGGTTTTACAAAGCTTGTAAGCATATTATTATTATTATTTTTTTTTTGTACCTATTTAATTTAATTTAAGTATCTTTTTTAATAATACTGTTGAAACTTGTCGTTCAGTCAATTGTTTTTCTGCTAACAAAAACAAAAAATAAATAATTTAAACCAAAAAAGTATATCATTAAAAAATAAAGACTGACAAATGAGTTGTATGGATTTATTTAAAATAACTTCAGGTGCAATACTCAAAAACTAAGAGGAAAAACTTTTGTCCAAATATATGCGTGCCACCAACAATAAAGATTTATTTCAGTATTTAATTTTATCTTAATATATTAAAAAAAAATTAATTTAATTTTCTCAACTTTTGTACCAGGATCTGAAGAATGTCAAGGAAACTCTTTTAACATTATCATAGTTAAAGAAAAAGGGAAAGAACAACTAGCCAAAACAATGGATCTACCCTGACCACAAACAAATCAATTACAAAAACTAAACAATCTCACTGTATTAGAGCTTCAAATAAAATCATCATATTACCTGTGTGATGTACTCCAGTAGGGGGTAAACATATGATTTAATAAAGAGACTCTTTTTGACAATAGGGAAAATTCGAAAGGTGGGTTGATATGGGAGTTGGTGAGCAGTGGCGTATTGAGCCGAAGGTTGTGGGCTTGAATCCCCCTTGCGACACTAACTTCTTTCGTCTCAACCAAGCCCTTACATAAAAAGAATAATTACTATGGTCAATTAGACCACTAAACATAAATGGATTAAGTTAATTATTACTAGTATTGACACTGGGAACACAGAAAGAAATACCTGAGAGATCAGAACCATCTATTATTGCAGTTACAATATCATAAATCAAGAGAGCAACATATAATTTTCTCCAATCAAAACAAATAATCGTGTTTAGTTCTTTTAATAATAGATCATAATCTAAGGAAGAAAATTGAATTTTTACCTAAATGCGATGGATCAAAAATTTAGACTTTTTTTAATTGCATCAATATATATAGAATAATGAGACCAAATGGGAGTACAAAATTCAAGATGAGGCTTACAAGAGAGACATGTAAGTATTAATTATAAATATTAGATTATATGTTGTCAAATTTTGGAGTGTTTCTGATTATAAAGCTTAATAATTTATAAAATTTTGCAGTGATATAATCAATATGATATTTAAATGAGAGCGTTGAGTTGAATTCCAAGTCCCTAATTAAATGGACTATTGCTAGATGTGTATTTTCTAAAGAATTCGGTATGATAGCTTTTTTGAAGTGTAGTGAATGTAATTACCTTACTCTTATTAACAATTCAACGAATTATTCAACACACCATGAGTGAAATTTTTATAAATTTTCTTCGGGTACCATCACATCATATATGGCATTGATTTTAAAAAGATTTTTAGATTATTGTCCAGCAATAAAACATTAACATGTGAAAAGTTATGAACTTCATTAAGGAGAACATGGAATAGCAGTGGACCCAAATGCGAACCTTGGGGGACCCCAGAATATAGTCATGTACTGTTGTTTGTCAACGTGCTGTTGTAATGTTTAAATAATTATATAATTTTTCAAAATAATTTTGAATAGTGTTGTTAGCCAATTTGTGGAAATATGCAATAATTCGATGAGCGGCGGGGTGGTTTTGTGGACAATTGGTGTAAAATGAAACGCCAAAATGTTGACACTTGGCAGCAGTGGAAGGATAACATGTTCGTAACCTACCCATTTCGGTTTTGTGTAAGTAAATAAAACAACGCTGGCTGGACGACTTATTTCGAATGTAAATTACGAAGTCGATTTTGGGCGAAAATTAAATCGCTTATAATTAGAATATAAACGGTTTTCTGTTGTTTATTGAAAGTGTGCGATGGAAGGCGCGCAGAAGATCATCTCGCAGAAGGAATATCTCAAAAAGTACCTCTCGAAGGACAAAAAGGAGAAGAAGAAAAAAGTCAAGATTTCCTCTTCGACCTTTGTCAAAAGGTAAAACTCGAACTGAGAAAACGTTAAACATTCAATTAATTACATATTCCCACATCGCATTTTCATAAAATCGTCTTAATTTTTTTGTAGATATTGAAAATTAATCTGTAGTCTTCTAAACTCCGAAAAGTTTCCTTATAAACAGAAGTGTAACTTTAGATTTTGTATCTTACAGTATATCATACAGACTCATATTGTCGTTTTCTGTACCATGTTGACTGGTTACCAACAAATATGAGAAAGCTATCTGTATACCACATCTAACTAATCAAAATTACTGATTTAGAATGTAATATTATTTATGTTATAGAATATGTAAAATTATGTAATAGAATATTTTATTATTTATTGATTAGTTGGTGTTTTGAAAAAGGAAAGATGTTATATAATACATTTTCTGTTTTATTGACAGTTTTGGAACACTTCTATTCCAAGCAAATTAAATGACATAATTTATGTTATTCTTAATATTGAAATTTTCAGCTGACATCATAATATGAAAGTTTTTGACAAATATCGTTGCTAAGAAATAAGTTTCAATACCCAGACAATTTTGGTCCGCATATTTTATAGATATTATCTTTTAATGAAACATTTGCATGTATATATAAGTTTTTATTGGAGTTTTGTATCTTACTGTTTTTCTTACAGACTCATATTGTCGTTACACTGTACCTTGACTTAATACAGACATGAAGGGCAAAGTAATCTGCATACCAGATTTAGCAAATTAAAATTACTGTTTTTTCCTTTTTTTTTTTTAATTAAAAATATATAACAATATTCTGGTATTTGTTCATGTTTCGAAAAACAAATTCTGTTACATAATATTATATATATATACATATATTTATTGACCGCTTAGGACTACATGGTAATAATTAATCAAGCAAATTACGTTACATCTTCATTTAAATGTTATTCTTAATTATTTCGATTAATTATACTTTTCATCTCAACCAAGACCTTATATAAAAAGTATGATGAATTGAATAATACGGTCAATTATGACTGCTAAATATATAGGGTTATTCTTAATATAAACTTGTTCAGCTGACATCACAATATAAAAGTTTTTGTTTTGGCAAATATCGTTGCTAAGAAATAAGTTTCAATGCCTCCTCTAGAAAAACATTATTTATTGTTAGTTATATTAATATATTAGTTTATTTATTGAGTCTGCTATCATTGTGCATTTTTACCCTCCCAAATAAACTAACTGGTATACAAAAATAAAAGCATTAAAAAACCTACATGTAGTATATCTTGATTAATATTAAGGTTATTTCAATTAATTATAGTTTTATCTAAGGACGTAGTTGAAACGATAAAGTTAATGTGTGATAAGTTAAGTTAGTGTCCGAGTGGATCAAAGTCACGCTAGCTCAAGTGGTAAGAGCAGCGACGTATTGAGCTGAAGGTCATGGGTTCAAATCCCACTTGTTACACTAACTTTTTCATCTCAACTAAGACCTTAGACAAAAAATAATAATATGGTCAATTATGACCTCTAAACATATATGGATTAAGGTTATTATTTAGATGTAAAAACTCTTGACCTTTTAGGTTCAGATTCAATCAGCACTAAACACACATGAGTGAATATTTAGAAACAAATTATATGAAATACAACTTTCGTTTTCAGATCAGTTATTATTGATGATGATGTACCTCTAGCCGACATTCCAGTTGTGAACGAAGAAGAGATAATTAATTTTGACTATCTTGGCGATGAGGCTCCTCAGATTGCTGGGTTTGTCGATGATAGGCCTCTGGACATGATTTGGAAACCAATAGGAACGGCCGCCACGAACGATGACAATCAGGATAGGGAAGAGAGGGAGGAGAGAAACTTGCTGATGAAAGAGCGTTACCGGAATGAGAACACACTGTCTCTCGAGGAGTGCCCGCCGACAAGCATGTTTGGCTCGAAGGCCGAAGAAAAGGAGTATAAGAGCAGGAAAAAAGACGAATCTGATTCTGATGATAATACTCAAAGGCATAGGTCGAAGAAGCAGGAACATAAAAGACAAAGAAGTGATGCCGATTTGGATACCTATAAAGGAAAACAAGATAGAGATAGTTACAAATATAACCAGAGAAAGGACAGAATGAACAGCGATTCTGATGCCGATTGTAGAAAAGAAAGAGAAAGAAGTAGAAAAGATGGGTACAATTCCGACTTAGATCGTAGAAGGGAAAGAGAAAGGCGCAGAAGGGAAAATAATGATTATGATTATGATCGTAGAAAAGATAGAGACAGACACAGGAAAGAATATGATTCTGGTATAGATCGTAGAAGAAATAGGGATAGACGCAGAAAAGACAAAAGCGATTCTGATGGTTCTCCCAACAGAAAAGTAAGAAGAAGAACTGACACTAGAAGAAGAAACGATAGTGATTCTGATGCATCAGTCGGCAGAAAGAGAAAGAAGTCGCGTGAAAGGGATTCTTATAATTACCAAAGACGAAGGAGAAGGGATGACGATTCTGATGCTTCTGTGGAAAGACACAGAAAGAAGACGGACAGGAGCAGAACATTGAAAACAAGAAACGAATCCCCTGAAAAAAAATCAAAAAGAGAAAATGGCCATGATTCTCAAAAACAAGACATATCACAGGCAAAAAATTCCCTCAGACGCGGATCAGATTCTGATCACTCCCCACCCAGACCTCAAAAACGGGATGCAAGGCAGTCGCTGGCAGAGTCAGCGGCAAAAAAGAAAAACAAAGATTCTGACTCAGACTTGTCACCTCCAAGAAAATCCAACAAGCTCAATAAGAAACCTAATTATGATTCCGACAATTCCCCTCCGAGGAAAAACCGTCCTAAGGAACGCAATTCAAACATAACAGAAAAATACGATTCAGATCCATCACCTCCTAGGAAACCCAAAGGAGAAAAACCAAATAAGAATTTCTCCAGGTAAAAATTAAAAAATAAATAAATAAAAATCAAATAATTTTCGTTTGTTTTTCCTTAGGGATCAGATGGATAAAACCCTGGATGGAAAAAAAGCTGGTTTACAAAGTGCAAAAAATCTTAAGGAGGAACTCAAAGAGCTTAAGGATAACGAAAACCGTGCTTTTCTTCAGGTATTTATTGCAAACATTTATATACCAATCACAAATACAAGAAACATAATATATTCCATTAAATTATGTCAAAGAAATACGAACAAAATACAGTATTGCAAATATATAAGTGTAGAAATTTGGACTTTATTAACATCATTCTTACGAGTTAAAAATGAAAAGTACTGTTTGTAATTTTTATATACTCTTTGATTGAGGGATCAAGGTAACAACTAAATATTTAATAATGGGTCATTTATTATTAATAATAGCTGTAATAGAAGAAACCGTCAAACACCAATAAAGTTTATAGCCATCCCTTTAGTTATGGGGCCCCTTTATTTTAGTCATCCCTTGGACATTCTTTATAATTGGATTTTTTTTTTGTATGCTTAAAATAAGTATTTTATTACTGTCCATTTTATGTTGTGCCACTAGATTATTTTAATACAGAGAATGTTGTTCTGATGGAATTCTATTCCAAATTTCAAATACAGAAAAAAGCAAGTTGAAATAAACAAAAGTTATCAAAACCATCATTAAAAACTATAATAGCAAAATATATTATTAATAAATTGCAACAACCGGTTAGTGCTTTGTAAATGAAGTGAATGAATCACAAGATTTGCATACAAGAAAAGTAACTGTTGACCGAGTGCACTGTATAAATTATTCAATACATTTTTGTTTTTGGTAAATTCTGTCTTGTAGAGTTTTGTTCATTACATTGCAGTTGTTCATAATCAATGAGGACTCCACTACAAAAAAATAGCATGATATCAACGATTCGGTTAGGGATAATAAACTTCTAAATGTTTTTTTCATTACTGTAAATTCTTTATCCTCAGCTTTTTCCATTTTGACTCTCTCATTCCATTTTATTTTTCTAAATGATTTTAAATTATTTTTCCTGTATTGTGTGCAAACAGTGGTAAAAACAAAAAAATAAGAGAAACAGTCATGCGCTCAGAAAGAAGGTCAGCGTAATTATATAAGCTAAAATTATGTCTTGATGTGATAAGATGTTTTGTTTTTCAGATGGATCCTGTAGCTTTAGGTCAGTCTGCGGCGACAGTCGTAAGAGACAGGAAAACCGGTCTCAAAAGGGATTTGGAGAAGGAGCAGGAGGAAAATAAAGAGAAGTCAGCGAGAGCAGAAGCTAGAAAGGAAAAATATGACAAATGGGGAAAAGGGTAAACAGCTATAAAAATGCTCAGTTTTTTTTCTTTAGTAATACGTATCTGTAAAAACAAGTTCAAACATCTTTGTTTCTGAAAACTGAATTTCTCAGAACAGCGTAGTTGAGAAGGTTTGTCACTAGTCTATCTTAATAACAAATAGAATTTAAACTTTTAGGTAATTGCAATAGTTTTTAAATCATTTATTAACTATTTATACCCAGCAAATATTCCTGTAGTTCTCGGTGATAACAGTGCAAAGTTCTATCAGGAACTGCTAAGTGTCAAAGTATGTTTCATACGTGGTGCCGATTACTGTGTGGATCTTTATTAATTGAAACAAAGTTTAAACTGATTACAATTTTCAGCCTGAAACAGTTAAGAGAACAAGAAGAGAGGAGGGCCGACACTTTGCATGAAATGGCAAAACCTCTGGCTCGGTACAAAGACGACGAGGACCTGGACAAATTTCTCAGGGCGAGGGAGCGGGATGGCGACCCTATGCTCGACTACATCAGAAAACACCAAGCTGAGTCGCACGATGTTATAGACCTAAGTAAGACTCTACTATAAAATATCTCAGTTGCATTCTGTAATGGGTAAATATTTACAGCTTCCTCCAGCTCCGGCAGAAAGAAGTACAATGGCGTATTCAATCCTAACCGTTTTGGAATCGCGCCTGGATACAGGTGGGACGGCGTCGACCGTTCAAATGGCTACGAGCAAAAATGGTTTGAAACCAAGAGCGCCATCAAAGCCGGTGAAGAAGAAGTTTATAAATGGAGTGTTGAAGACATGTGAGGGATTGGATTTTTATATCCTTTTATGTACAATATGTCCAGATTACATAAAATCCTATTTTTACTGTGTAAATACAAGCAACTTTTAAAAAGTGTCTTATTTTCATATTATCAATACTAAAATCTATTTATCAACTTACCTTGTACCTTTATCTTACTATGAATACAGAATGTACGTAATTAATTACATTTTTTCTTAATGATAAATTCACCCATTAGTTACATCAGGTACTATTTTAGAAATAGAAGTAAATCTAAAAAAATCCTAGATAATCCAAATAATTCATGTGACTATACAAGGGCTCATGTTGCAACTATTATTTTCCCAGTTTATATACTATTTTCCAACTGGCATTTGCTATGCTAGCAGTTCCGGGCTCGTATCCCATCACAGCCTATAAAATTTTAATTTCTAATAACCTAACACAACCAAGAACCAAACACAATAGAAACAAGCATGACATTAGTACACGAGAATCTTGAAATAGCTTACAAATAATACTTAGGAAGTTATATATATAGGAAACCTATAACCTATATATAGGAAAAGTTATAAAAAGCACAAACTCACATTGACAAACTACCTTTAAAAGCACTAAACAAAAAACAAAATTGTTCAGAAGAATACAATATTGAAATAACAAAAAAATGCAGAAATAAGTTGTTTAAAATTGTTTAAAGATCATCAAAGGAATGGTGTTGTATGTTAGAAAAACATTTTCTTTATCACGCCAACCGCCAACCTTTCGATATTTATTAAGATCACCTTAAGGGCCTGGAATTTATAAACATTGTTTAAAAAATAATAATTTTTTATTATTTTTATTACATCATTCTTAACCCGATTTTTTCATTTCGAAAAAAAATCGCGGGTAATTAAGTGAGTATTGTTTAAATAAGTTAATAACTGACAAGGAAAATAACCGTTATCACGAGCGACCAATGAGCACCATGACCACGCCCCCTAACGCAACGCCTCCAGCGACAAGCGACAGACCTAATGCTATATAAACCCTATTCGGACAGTTAGTAACAGACGGTTCTTCACTGAAGATGGCGTGGTATCGTAACTCGTTTGAATAATTCAAAAACCCGCGAGTTGAGACAGATCCTGTGCCGGTTCGACATGAATTCACCGACTCGCAGACCAAAACCCATTATCATCCTAACAGGTAAGTGAACATTAAGCTCTCCTTTATGACAAATTGCTTTAATTCTTCTTTATCCTTTTCTTACGGATGTTTTATCAATCCTGAAACCTTTACTCTTACAGAGGAATATAAATATGTACATAGTTCTCCATCCTGTTGAGTAGATGCTTCTATTTTCTACAATCTATACAATTTTTTAAAAATATAATTCTATTATGCAGTACCCTTGATAATACATAATTTATTGAAGTCGTGAGGAGCGGTCAAGAATGAGGTAGTTTGAATAAAACCTTTTTTATTTTTTTATCGACGTTCCGACCTTTATTCGGGTCATCTTCAGGGCATAAAGTGTGGTGCTATTCTCTCTATTATTGTGGTGTCACAACCAATATGACACCACAAGAATAATACCACACTTTATGCCCTGAGAAGATGGCCCGAATAAAGGTCGAAACGTCGACCAAAAAAGAAAAAAAGGGTGTTTTTCTAAACTACCTCATTCTCGACCGTTCCTCATGACTTCAACAAATTATGAAACTACAGGTCACAAAGAAACGCATATTTAATAATACATTTGTTAAACTGAGTTTGTGCTCTGCCTTATGAATTTTGATATTTTTTTTGTTCATAAATTCCACAAGTAGATATAAGCTTCAAGTGTACAGAGAACTTATTTTTCAGTGATTTCTGACTTATCCTCAGCTCAAAAATGTTTGTTATAGTGGTTTTACCCGTGTTGAGTTTAGGTTATGCTAGTAGTCTTTGCTGTTACATTCCCAAGATTTTAGAGATGTATTTAGTTTGGTATTCTAATTTATTTTTTAACTAATGAGGTTACTAATTGAGAAAGTTTAACCTCATCTGGCATATTCAGGCTAAAAAAAACATTTAAAAAAAACAGGCAACAGATAGTCTTTAACTATCATCGGAGATACCAAAATGGTGGCCAGAAGATATGATACTAAGTATACTAGGATTTATGATTCTATTACTCATTAAAAATAAATATATAAACGAATAGCTTTATTGACATACTTACAATATGCTTGTTACATATTGCCCTTGGGAGGAAATTAAGTTGCACTCTAATACATGAAATTTTCATTCCTATTAATTAAAAATTTAATTAAATCTTTGTCTTCTTTAATTATTAAAAAAATTGAAATTAAAAATCCTTCATAAGATTGACTCAAATGAATTTTACATTTAAATGTTTATTGTCGGGGCGTTGATGGCTGCAATGGTTTATGTGTTGACACAGCGCACATCACTGCAAGGTAAAGGTCGTGGGTTCGAATCCAGCGGCCCTGTATTCGAACCCCAAATACTTCCAAATTTTTTTTTCTGAAAAACATCGACACTCCAAGGGTTGTTATGATCTCTGCTGTTGAGAACTCTCGTAAAAAAAAAAAAAAAAACAGGCAAGTAAAAAATTAATTAAGCAGTAAATCTAAATCAATTAATTATACTTTGATCTAAAGTCTTTGTTGAGATGAAAAAGTTGAAAGAGTTAGTGTCACGAGTGGAATTCCAACTTCATGACCTTCGGCTGTGACTCTTCTTAAACATATAAGGATTAATAAATACATTAAGTTATAAAGGACGTAGGAGTAGAGGGAAACAAATGAAAGGTGCTGCCATACCGCTGATAGGTCCTGAGCCCTTTTGTGGTCTAGGGGTTCATGCTATCAGTGAATATCTTAAAGAAAAATACAAAACGAAAATGAGGAAACTGTGGAATTCACCCTTTGGACACAACGCATCTGCTAATAACGGTGGTGCTACATTTGTCTGCAGGAGGAAGTGTTTTGGTTTGTAAACGTAACTATAAATGAACCATTGAAAACGGGCCTGTTAATACAATTTTTTGAGGTACTAGGACTGATGAGTGTGCTATAGATACACAAAGGAGGATACAATAGCTCCCAAAGGGCTTAATATATTATTCATCTAGGCAAAGACTATTATGTTAGTCAAATTGTCACACAGCTCTTTTGAATTACAAAAGGATTTTAACAGAAAGAAAACATAAAATAATATAAATGAAGTACACATATAATTAGAAGATTTAGATTAAAAAGTAAATTTCAAAAAAAGATAAAGAAATAAACTGCTGGGTCCCAGGACATGTAGGAAACGAGACAGCGGACGCCCTTACAAGGAAAGGGGCTGCTATACAGCCCATAGGTCCTGAACCATCTGAATATTACATCTACATCTTGGCAAAGACATTATATCAGCCAAGTTGTCCCATGGCTGTTTTGCATTACATAAGAATCATAACAGAAAGAAAACACATCTACAAAATAATATAAGTGTTGTTATACATATAATTACAAGATTATAAATTTCAAAAAATAAAAAATGATTATAAATTTCAAAAAAAGAAAAGAAAAGGCATTAAACTACTCATATCGGACATGCCTCATCTTCATCTTGCATTCTGCATATCCTCAGACTGTCATCATAGAGAACAGTATTAAGACGAGTAGAAAAATCTGAAACTACTCAACGTTTATTGAAAATAAAAGTTTTTTATTCATGCTGTGACCTCAGGGAGCCAAACAGGAAAAAACAGGCATCAGGATTGTATATGATAAAGGTTTTTTTAACATCATCTTTACGGTACTTGTCGGTTTTCAGTCTTTTCAACCAAAACCAGTTTGAGATTGTTTCAGACAATAGGGCTTTTTTATGCAACAGCTTAATATGCAGTTTTGTACTTATTAGCTGTTTTGATAGATCAAAAATAGTAAGGCCGATCCTGTTTTCATCATTTCCCCTTGATTAAAGGCAAAGTTCACATGAATGTAAGATGGTTCTGTGTCTTTGCTACATCCTACTTACACCTCTGGTATTGTGCCATCTGGGTACAGAACTTTTTATAACATCAGCAAATCCATACATATTAAGCTGTAAGTTTAATGTTTTCAAATGGAAGGAGTCGTATTGTCTTCAAAACTCAAAAGCAGATGGAGAATTATTAAAAATCACATAAGTCTCACTGTTAATTTATTAACTTTTGATAAATCTACAAATTGTTTCATGGTAAAATTGTTTGCCACTTAAGATCTAATCACAAGTTTTACAAAACATACTCAACATCAATAAAGAGTTATACAAATAATGGGTCTTTCAAATGGTTTATGCCATTCATCCTTAACAAAATGAAAATGCAAACAAAAAGTGCAGCTTCATACACTTTTATTTGTAATTATTTATTTATTTTTTAAATCAACTTTTGAATGAGAATTTTGACTTAAACAAAAATTGCTCAAAATGCAAAAGTTTTTCACAAATGATAAGAGTGCACAGACAGTAAACTTAAAGACCTTTAGAAATAAACCCTTAGGGCTATTAAAAAACACAGGAAAGCCATTCATTAACATTTTTATGATTAATGATGCATTACCAAAACTTATATATACTATCTTATAAAAACATATTATCATAGAGTATCATAAATATAAATCCTAACTTTATTATCATCTATATTTCTGCTAGCAGAATTAACAAATCTTAATCTGTATTAAAATAAATTTTTAAATTGCATTTTAAAAATATTTCACTTTTTTAATGCTTTAAATAAATTTGCCTCATATAAATATCAATAGGAGGATTAAAAACAAAAAAAATTTATATCACAGTTAAACTTTTTTAAGGTGTTAAAACTACTTATTGAGAAAGTTAACAAAAAATTAAAAAAATACAATATAAAAGAAGTACAGTTTTACAAATTACTGTTTATATTTGAGCAGATGAAATGAAATCTATTTTTTTTTAACTTTCGAAAAGTGTAATAATTGTAAAAATGATCAAATTAATCATACTAGAGTATTAATTCCAATTATTTGAAAAATTGATCATCAGCAGTAATCACTAAATCTGAATCTGATCACTTTCAATCATTGGCCTTAGTGCCAACAGTAGCATGATGCACTGGTGGCACTCTCAAAAGGCCTGAAATTAGTGTTAATAATCTTTCTCTTTCACATTTGGAAGACGAGCTATGTCTTAGAAAGGGCTGAACAGCCCCACATGCATTATCGGAATGCGATGATGAATCAATCATATATAGAAGCCTCTAGAGTTGTAGAAAATTCTTCATTCTGGACTGTTCATTGTTGTCCTAAAACAGAGATTTTGAAGTTTAAGATCTTTAAGTCAACCTCAGTATTCAGTAAAGTGATGTAGTAACTGTAATGAGGTTTGCAATAAATGAAAAAATTATGATTTTAAAAATGCTTAAAACATTTATTGAATTTTTATGGTTTTACCTTTTAACCTTTAAAGCAGAAACAGTCCCAACAAAAACCTAACCATAAAAAAAGTGTAAAGTTCCAGACCATCTCCAAAAAAATTAGCCTATCACTGTAATGATATCTATACTGTGGCCAAGTCCGTTCGTTTATTAGTCCATTATCATTATCAATTATATCCTATTAATGCTTGAACCTAAATGTTTTTCTTTTTATAACTCCCAACGCTGTAATATGAGAAAGGCGGTGAGCAGGCAAATTTAGAATTTTAATGCATCCTCTAACATGAAGGCCCAAGGTGAAAACGAGAGAAGTCGAGGTCTCAAACATTAACATATAATTGTCATGGGGGGTAGCCAAAACAACTTTTTAATTAAAAAAACCCCACTGAATTCTTTCCTCCTACTCAAACCGTTGAAACCCCCAAATTGAGTGCCATAGCAGACAATTGATCGTGAAACAGATTTAAAGAGATTATATTTGGAGGAAGAAGGAACATTTCTGTCAGTAATAATGTCATCCCAGAATTGATTAACACTAAATTTCGCTATTGCTATTCTCTCGTCAAGTCCTTGACAAAAGTGGGGTGAGGGTTATACTCAAATATTGTACTGTTTAACTACATCTATGAGGCTGCCCTTATATTTATACCGATCATTAGCAGTGAGACATTCATTGTCATGTTCTATTGAACACAGTAACGCTGTAGGAAATTGATGTTTTTCTGATAAGAGACTGTAATTTTGAAATACTTTGTTTCACACTTACTCGTACTCCATGTTAATATTTGCAAACTCATTGCTCCAAGAGGTGCTCGAGTTGGGTCTATGAAGCAAAAACAAATATAGATAATATAATTTATAAAATAAACAAATTTACTAGACGAACCTTGGTGTACACGATATATAAGGAGGAGAGTGTTCAGTACCAGCTGTGAAACTGTGCTGTTGCATTTCCTTGTTCTTCTTTATCTCAATGAGGTCTGCAACATTGAACTTAACCCAATCTGAAAACAAAAGGTGTCAGAGAAGTTTGTACAATTGGGAATTGAATAGATTGAAAGACCTGGCTGTAAGGGGCCGAGCTTGCAGGCGATGCTGTAGAGCGTATCGGGGCTCCATGACTGTGGGATCCTGGCGAATACTTTCCCAGCGTCTGCTGGGAGGTGAAGCCCGAGCTTGTGGAGCAAGAGCAGAAAAGCCTGGCTCTGCATTATCGAACATTGTTCACAGCTCCATGCCACGACTGGAATTGGCTCCTGCAACACTATACAACCCCCTCCCTCTGTCCTTCAGTAAAAGTGGCAACACATTCATTCACTGGTATATTTTTCTTTTTTTTCAATAAAAACAAAACAATTATTATAATTGAATACCTTTGCATACATTTAAAACAGATTCAATACCAGCATAAATAACATCATACAAATTTTTAGTTTCAGGAAAAAAATTGATTGCTTATTGTCAATATTTTATTTATTTTGTCAATGATGAGATTTTGTTGGAGCGGTTAATTATAGGGACAGATCTACTCACATGTACAGTAATATGGTACTGGTTCAACAATATGCCTGGACTTGTTCATCATGCTTAGTTTTGCATGGCAAGCCTCAAGAAGGACTTTCTGCACCCAGATGACAAAACTAAATTTGTTTTCCCTTTTTAAATGATCTAAAACAATAATTTAAAAATCCCATATTTTAACAAATGTAATGTTTTAGCTATGTATAGAGATAAATGATTATTATATTATCAGGTCGTCCAGAAAGTCTTTTTTTTTCGGTAAAATTTTTTTAGAAAATAAGATTTTATTTATTGAGTCACCCTATTGGCTTCAATTATTCTCACCCAATGAGAATCAAGTTCAAAAATCCTTTTTGAAAAAAAAAATCTAAAATTTTTGTAAGGCTTAAAATGACTCAACTCCGATTCGAGAATAAAGGTTTTCAACTTTTCTACTAAAGCTATTATCGAGAGCTCTGAAAAGGAGATAATTTGTCAGCATCAGGTCTGGAGAGGAGAATATGGCAAAATTCTTCATCTAATGTCTATTGATGTTCTGGTGTGAGTGAGTGAGCGTTTACCTGTAGCAGAGGGCCTTTTCAATGTCCTGAATGACTTTTTGAATAACATAGGTCCAAATTGTCCAGTAGGTCTCTTCTGTGACGGTTTAACTTGGAGGCAAAAGTTCATAGTGCACTTCTTCAGCAGTCATGAACATAGCGTGTAAAACTTCTCGGATTAAGGTCAGAGTTTAGTAAATTTCCACGATCCACCAGAGCCAATTGATACGACTGGCTGCGATTATTGTACGGGAACCATTTTTCATCACAAGTGAGTCTACTCAAACTGGACCTTTTTTTTGGGGAGGGGGAGCTAGGAATAGATAAACCAACAAATTTATTGGTGTCAGTTAAATTGTGGAGTACATATTAATATATTTTTTATTACAACTTGATATGGGTAATTCCAGATGGTTGATTCCAAGATGTTGGAGTAGTTGCTCAACTATCTTTGGGTAGTTTTGCCTTTCTCAGTGAGCCCCATCCAGCCTCTTATAAACCGAGTTACTCAACCTAACCATATTGCTTTTAATGGTTTGAACACTAAACTAATGTGGGATTATAATTTAATACCAACTTTAATAACAAACTCTCATCTGACCTTCCAGTTAATTGTCGTATTCCTCAAGGTGCAGTTTTAGGGCCCTTATTGTTTTGTATTTATTAACAACCTCCCTTCTTGTTTAAATTACTCCCAATTTCACTTATATGCTAATGATACGCAAATCTAGACACAATGTCACTTCCATTTAATCCCTGATACCATTCAACTCATTAACAAAGAACTTTCTAGCTGGATTAATTGTGCTTCAAACAGTTGTCTCAAACTTAACCCATTCAAATCTCAGTCGATAATTATTTAAAACACACTTCTACCAACTGAGGATTTTCCTCTTTAGTACCATTCTCTAACCAAGTAAAAACACCTTGGTGTGATTTGTAATACCAGATTATCTTGGGATATTTATTTGGCTTTGTTGCTAGAAGGGTAAATGGGACTTAAAGTTACTTTGGAAATATCATAAATTTATCTCTCCGTCACTAAAACTTAGGCTACTCAAAACTCTTATTTTACCGTTTTTTATTTATTGCAGTACTCTTTTTCACTTAACTTATACTAAAAAAATAAGAATATTTTTTAATAATTGCACAAGATTTGTGTTACGTTTATGAATTACGAGCATATTTAAACAGATGACAAATTCATTTTAAACTGATAAGTCTCATAACTTTTTGGAGGATCTGATAATTGAATATTAATTTATTAGAAAAATGGAATCACAACAAACTTATATAATTTCAAAATATTTAGTTCAAATATAAACAATACAACTATTTGCTTATACATGCTTAATGCTTAATTTGCTTATTTTAATAGATCAATTTGCATGACTGATCCAAAAGATTCCAAAATAACACAATACGAATTGTCAAAAACAGGGCAATAATGTTGAAATGATTTTTTTTTTTTTTAATTTAAAAGCCTTACCTTTTAATAACTCGATTTCATCCTTACTTGCTGCTCCAGATTGAAACAGGTTCGATGGTAGATCTGTAATCTGTGGACCAAAGTAGAAGTCATTTTTTTTTCTTTCCTAGTCGCTACTCTAGATAATTCTAATACGAACCGTTATCGGTTCCTTTTCCATGAGCTCGTTATATTGAATGCCGGTGATGACATCTTGTTTCAGAAGTTGCTCTATGACCTGAAACAATAATAATAACAGTGCACTTGAGGAAATGTGTGATACTATTTAAGAGTCAGATTTGAGTTGAGTGTGATGTTTAGCTGTTTCAAAAATTTTTTTATGGACCTTAACTATTAAATATATGTGTGAAATGGTCTGAAGCACTAAAAAATGCATTTTAGTTTAGTCGTGTTTGTTAATTTATGATCTTTGTTTAAATTAAAAAAAAACAAGCCACATGATGCTTAATGAGAACTTGTCACTTGGATCATTGTTTTTGAAAAGATAATACCTAGACAGTTGAATCCCATTCGCGCCAATTGACCCATAGAACAAACATAGAACAAAAGCATTTTAGTTTCGACACCACAGTAGCAGTTTACTAGGATATAAGATATACTAAAAAAATAATATATATTTGAAGTTTGGGGAAAGATACTGACCCAGTTTGGTAAGATGGTAATTTAGAAAACTATTCAAAATAAATTCCTAAAGTTAGTAAACTCGTATTTTTGTGTTTCTCCTTTGATCTTACTCCCTTTTTAAGGCTGCTAAGTCTTTTGAGGCGTGATTCTTAGCCCCATATTTTTTTCTTTAAGTTTCTTCAAGGGAAATGCACTTAAGGTCAATATCAATAGGGAACTTAAAAGGGTAACGTTTGTAGATAAATACATAATCTAAAAGTGTATTTATATAATACTGGCTGCATTCTATTCACAAAATTGATTTTTCGTAAAATAGAGGTTGACAAGAATTTTTGAATGGCCTAAAACTATAATTTATTCTTGACACTAGGCCAAACTTTAATATGCACGTGAAAGAATGTCTGCTGTAAAATGTAAGCACTGATAGTGAGTTATATCAAAAACGACTTACTTAATTATCGGGTTGTCCGGAAAATAATGCAGGATTTTAAGTTTTCATAAAAAAAAATCTATATAAAATATTCTGTTTACGTTTACAGGATTACTCATTTGTATGAATGTCAACACTTATTAATCCTCTTCCAAATGATATTGTTTGTTTACCTCTGTAGCATTCCGCTACTTGGAAATAATTCAGTCATCCTTATAATGTCAAAGCGAGAATTTCGTACGATTTTCTTTTACGAGTTTAAACTCGGCCGAAGCGGAGCCCAAACGGCTAGAAACATTAACCAAGTCTGGGGCGAGGGTTGTGTTAATGAGTGCACTGTGCAAAGGTGGTTTAAAAAATTTCGGGAGGGAGATTTCAGCCTTGAAGATGAAGAAGGTCGTGGAAGGCCTTCCTCTCTTAATGATGATGTTCTGCGATCAGTGGTGGAAGAAAACCCCAAAACAACTGTTCGAGAACTTGCAGAGCAACTCAAAGTCAGTAAAACGACCGTCGCTGACCACCTCAAGGCGATTGGAAAAGTGAAAAAACTCGAAAATTGGGTTCCACACTCATTAAACGATCGCCAAAAAAATCAGCGCTTTGATGTTTGTGCATCACTTCTTTGTCGAAACAAAAATGACCCATTTCTGGCCAGAATTGTTACATGTGACGAAAAGTGGATTCTCTACGATAACACTAGACGTTCTGGACAGTGGCTCGACAAAGGAGAAGCTCCAATACATTTTCCAAAGCCCCCAACTCATCAAAAAAAGGTAATGGTTACGGTATGGTGGGCTTCATTTGGTTTAATACACTACAGCTTCTTAAATCCTGGCGAAACCATCAATGCTGAATCATACTGTAACCAAATTAATACCATGCATCAGAAATTGGCAGTAATGAAGCCCTCTTTGGTCAATCGGAAAGGGCCCATTTTGTTGCATGACAACGCTCGACCACATGTGTCACGTGTAACGTCACAAAAATTATTGGAGCTTGGCTATGAAACTTTGCCTCACCCACCCTACTCTCCGGACCTCTCGCCTACTGACTACCATTTTTTTAGACACCTGGACCACTACTTACAACACATAATATTCAAAAATCAAACGGAACTGGAAAATGCATTTATTGACTTTATCAATTCTAAAAATTCTGAATTCTACTCAGACGGAATTAATAAGTTACCAACACGTATTTTGATTAAAGAACATTGCTTTAAAGTAACTAGTTTCTTTTTTTTTGTTTAATACCAAAATCCTGCATTATTTTCCGGACAACCCAATATATAAAATTTTTATGCTTATATTCATAATAACCATCTTACTGGAAGTACCAGTTACACCAGACTGATTCCACGATAACAAACACAGAGAGGATTAAATGTCTTACACGATTACAAACACAGAGAGGACTAAATAAACAGTGCTAAAATGACTGGCAAGGCTCCTTTGACAAACATCTACTTACCCATTTAAATTCCCATTTCCAGGCCTGTAGGGAACTACTTCACTGCAGCCTTCTGGAAACATAGGCCCATTAAGCACATGTCTCAGGATTATCGCCATGTCTGATCTGGCTTTTTCTTGAAATGGTTACATTTTTTGTAGCCCATGAGTTTAATTCTTGATCAAAAAAAGTTTATTTGGAAAAACATTGAATTTCAGTACCTATTTAAAAAGCTCAGTTATGCTGATAACTTATGGATATTGGAAAGCTTTCCAAACAAAGTAAGCTCTTTAAAAACTGTGTGTGTGTGTGTGTGTGTGTGTGTGTGTGTGTGTGTGTGTGTGTGCGTGCGTGCGTGCGTGCGTGTGTGTGTGTGTGTGTGTGTGTGTGTGTGTGTGTGTATTATTACTTTGTCAATAAAGTATTTGTTTATTGTCTTTTTGTCGAATTGGCCACGTTTAGCGACTGGTAGAGCAGTCTGATTTCAGCCTAGCCATTGATTCTTGGTCTTGGGGTTTCCTAATACATCTCCTTTTCATCGCAAGTATTCTTTCACTGATCCGAAGGTCATTTGGGTTTTTTTAAAAGATATTGACAAATTTCTACTTGGCATCGTGCCTTCTCAATGGTCAACTCATGAGGAACCACTTTTAATGAGCGATTCACTTTTCCGATTTTGGATTGGAAAACTCCAAGTTCTTTGCCAATTTCTGTGTATTTTTCGTTGGGTATCCTAATCTAACCTAATCAGAGTCGCGTCAGCTTCCTCAGCTCCGAATGATGATTTTCATCCAGAACCCACTTTCCTCTCGAGGTGATGTCCCCACCTTTAAATTTCTGGAAACATCTGCACACTGTCTGTCAGAGAGAATATCCTCTTCTTCAAATTGCCGCACCAAATGGGTTGTTATGGGTGGATAACTTACGTTTCCAATAATGGCGTAATATTACCAAAATTTCAAATTTTACGAAACTTTAAGACAAAACTGAAGGCAAGACACGATCATATTTTTACACATGTATTTAGTCTACCGATTAAAATAGTATCAAATCTAATTGGATTTGAAAAACAAATAAAGCATATAGGGGATTACAATTTCCAAGAAAATGAAATTGGTCATTTTTTATATCTCTCCCTATTAAAACTAGATTCATGTTGAACTGATCGACACTGATCACTATGCTGTGAATCTGTCTTAAGATGGACCCTAGTTCTTCAGGTTACGAATCTGTAGTATGGCCTTATTGATGAAAAATGATTGGAAATGGACTAAATTATGATCACTTTCCTGGGTATTTTGCGACTTTACTCATTCCAATTTGTCCTTTTTGTCATCTTCAATTAGCAATGTAAACCAGTGAGAATGATGGAGTCTGTACAGTGATTAGTTTCGATTCGATCAACATGTGTTCTTACACTTGCAGACCAACAAACACTACCAACTACAAAATACTAAATTGTTTCTTGTTGAAGATATCAGCAGCAATTTTATTACAAATACTACCAAACGAGTAAAAAATTTCCTTATAGTTACACTTGTAGGTAATTATAATCCATATATGTTTAGCAGGCATGATTTACGGAATTGATTATTTCAATTAATTATACTTTTTATCTAAGGTCTTGGATGAGATGACCACCTCTAACCACTTGAGTTATTAGTTATTTACAATTATTGCTAGGCATAGAAAACGCTCACCCAAGAATTTTTTGAATTTTTCAATTTTCATTCTTATTTTGTCATACTACTCCATTTTCTTTGCACAGGTGAAAGTGATCAACTATGAAAAAATAGTTGGCATGAATTTATAGGTCATCAAACCAACATCACATCTCAATTCAATTTTGAGTGTCACTCGCTCGACACAGACTCATTGTTTAATTAATTAATAAAATAATTTTCATTGTTAATCATTCTAATAGACATTATTGATCAAAATTACCCCAATTCTTGTTTTATTAGTGACACCACTCGCACTGTACAATTTGATAACATCGCCGACTGGATCTCTTCCATTAGCGCTTTGCACGTAATACCAATACAGACAGTCGCAGTCCTCCTGGGACCACCTTAAAATAGATGAGACTCTTTCAGTGAAATAAGTGTTGGAATGTAAAGTAAAATAAATAAAAAAATCATATTTCTTACTCTTGCACTTTGAGGGCAGGCACAGTGGTATTGCTGGTGTCTTTTTTCTCTGGTACAATTGAAATTGTTCTTGGCATGTTTATGAATTTGTGAATTACGTATTCAATTAAATCTGACCAGTCCTGGACAAATTACAAGTCACATAAAGAATACAGAATTTTCTCATTTAATTTTTTTTTTTTAAATTAAACAATAGCATTTGCTTACATCGCACAATTCAAAATCTGTTTCCCAAATTTGACTGAATGTTTTTAAAATGTTTGGCTGGAATAGAACAGTCACACATTCGAGATCACCTGCGACGTGATGCATCATCGTAAAAACGCAATCGTTGACAAACTGTCCGTTCTGTTGGAAACATTCCAGAAGGTGGCCGTACTGTTTCATCATGTCAACAGCGACAAATCTGTATACACAAAAAAATAAAAATCCGTTTTATAAACCGAGAAAACAATATTTGAAAAATTCCAATTAAAAGACAGTATTGATGAGAATCATAATTTTCCAATCCCAGGAGCTACTTACTGCCTCATGTGCTTTTGGAGTATGGTGCTGATATTTGGAAGAGAACAACTTTCTATAAAAGACAATAGCAAGTGGTTCGTGACGATAACGTCTTGCAGATACTGAATACTATGAAGGCTTGGGTTAAACTGACGGAGTAACAAAACAAATAAACACCGAAGTTCTTCGGTCTCGCATATTTGTCCTGTAAAATTGTTTCATCCATTTCATTTGCATGTCATGACCTTTTCAAAGAAAAATAATAAGGCTCCAAAACATAAAATACAGTTTTTCAGACAAAATGGAAATGGGGGAATGCATATCAATGCAACTACAGAGAAAACAAACTAAACGAATCATTCATATTTATATCCATTTAGGGTTTTGACTGAAACGTGCAATTTCAAACAACAAACATAAACAGAACTATAAATAAAGTAAACTTTAGAAAGGGATCAAAGAGCCCTTTTAACACACTATTAATCAAAAATAAAAGTTCTTACTTTGGAGTTTTGTCAGTTTTTGCTTATCATTATCGTTTAGATGTTTGATTTTTTTGTATGAATTAATTGTTTGTATCAATTCCCTTATAGCAGTAACGACCTGAAAATTTAAATGATACTGTTTAGAAAATGAAATATTAAATAATATGTGTAATAATTTTTAAAGTTTCATTTTTTCAAAGTAAATTTAACTTTTTAACCTCCGTTGTTCATGCATTATTGACAATATCGATATACAGGGTGAATTGCTACTCGTGCTACAAACTTCTCCAGTAGATTCTTCACCCTAAAATGAACAAAAAAGTTCATATTGTCCATGGTCCGATTCTCAACCATTTCAGAGTAATTTCGCTTTTTATCGATTTTGAAAGATATCACGTCCTGGCGTCGGAAAATCGTGATATCTTTTAATCTAAACATTTCTCTGAAAATCTAATAGCACCGTTGAAATTCCCGTTAATTTTTCAATAAGAAGATGAAGGTGGCAAAACGTTTGGGTCTTTCTTCCTTGACCTTCTAGCTGTTTGTAAACTTCTTAAGCATTACATACTAAATGGGCATTAAATTAAATTAAAAAATTTCAATGGAATTATGATTTTGATTCTCTCTAAAAATTAACGGGGATATATATATATATATATATATATATATATATATATATATATATTTCAATGTATTTTGAAATTGCAAGCACAAACAATCCTTTAAAAATGAAATGAGATATGTAAATCATTCAAGCTTTGAAATAATTGTTTGAAAATTTTAGTACATTTATATAGCCCAAATTTAACCACCTATTAAAAATACAATACTTTCTGCAGATGTATTAATGTACTAACCAAGTGCGTTCGTCTCAGACATGGTGCCATATCGTACTCAGAGTGCAGTTTCGTGAGTTCGAATTGTTCGCATAGGCCGACTCCTTCGAAGGTTAGAAATGACACAATTTTGAACGAGAGGACAGAACTGTAAAACAACCAAATTATCACTAGGCAATCTCTTTACACAAAACTCAAAATTTCTTACCTTATATGTTCGAGGTCGATTTCTAGCTGCACTGCGAATTTGAGAAAGTAGGTGACAAGCCAAAAAAAATGCGATGTGTCTATGTAGAGGTTGACCTGTGAATTGTACAAAAGTTGCTCCCTTAAGTCTGACACAAGTGAGCTGTAGCCTTTGAGGAGGAAGTCGACAGTGAACTCTTTTAATAACTGTGATATGTCCTCGTCTGTTGGTGTATGGTGTAAAAGTGCCTTCATGTTCACACTGAAAATAGGTACAAAAGCTTTAAATTAGCTCAATTTTGTTCGATCTTAATTACTTACACATTGGTTCGGCTTCTTTTCATCAACTTTTTACGTCTCATTTCTTCCTTTTCTTGTGGTGTCAGTGTAGGCTTGCCATCCTTGAAACGACTTTTCTGCAACATGTTCCCTGGCTTCTGATGAACCGGTTTTACACCCCTGGAACGGACGTGTCACAGATTAAGCTGTTTTTTTAAATACCTTCAGTCACAACTTCCATACCTGTTTGGTGAATCTTCTTCATTACTGGATGTCGACACCGACTCTTGATTTTCAACCTGTGTCCCATAACCACAATCCGATACTTCAGAAGAGGTGCATTCCAACTTTGAGTCATCCGATCTTCTAATCTATAAAAGTAAACTATATTTTGTGAAATTCTCATGATATAATGTAGTTATTATTTACTGTTTTGGTTTCAGAGAACTGCTCATTCTTTTTACTATTTTGCTGTTTTGTAGATTGCTTTCTTCCACCTGTTTGCCCTTTTTTGGTTGAATTATGAACCATTTTTTGCCCTTTGAACTCCCCATCGTTTTTCCTATCGCTGATACTGTTATCAGAAGAATCAGACGTTGGATCTGATGTTACCATCGACGACGAATCCCCCGATCCTCTTTCCTTAATCGTACAAAATAGTTGATACAATAGTAAAATTACATAAACATAATTTTTGAAAGAAAACTCACAGGAGGTGATGTATTGCTCTCGTTGTCTTCCGAACTCTCGCTCATAACCGATGTTTCAAACCATGTATTGAGAAGTTTCTGTAATGTAGCGACGTGTTGATCTTTGTAGAGCAAAGAAACTAACTGGACCATGGCCAGCCTCCACTCCCCATGATTTGTACCTGTCATTAAATCGATCAAAATCTGTAAAAATACAAAATTAATTGTTTATGTATAAACTTGAAATCTTTGAAAATTAATCTTTATAAAATTGAAAACGTAATAAATATTTAAGGCACCTAATATGCCATTTTGTATGTACTTGTTTTACTATTGAAATTTATAAATGATCATTTATTGACCAGTATCTCGGTAATTATAATTGAAGTACATACAATAAATGATTTATGAAAATATTTAATTTTACAAGCCAATCTCAATAGAAAATCACCTTATCTATGTTTTGGGCGAATAAATTCCAGAGAATTTGATTTTGGTGAGATGACCCATTGCTGCTCATTCTAAGGTCGGGTATGTGGAGAATATTCCTCAACAAGACCATGCTATCTTTCAGTGATTCGTTATCGACTTGCGTCATCTTGTCGCCCTGTCAAAACAAAATTTAAAACCTATTTTAATCAGAGATCAGAGCATTATTTAAAATAAGAAGAGAAAATTAGTTAGCAAATGAATAGCGAAAATGTTTTTGTTTTGTTTACAAGTCTGCAAAGATGCCATAACTTAATTAATTAATTTGAGCTTTGGGCGTTTTCCGATCCATTTATTAAATGATTTTAACATGGCTTATTATCTCATTTACCACATGCGTTAAATTTTTAATAAAAAAAACTTATTACTGTGTATTACAAATATTGGGACTTGCATGAACTTTTACCACAAAGTGGTTTGTGAAAATTATAAAACATCATATGAAGCTGTTGAATTTAATCTGTTAACATTTAAATTATTTTCATTAGTCTTTTTAACATTAAACTTGTATTGAAATAGAGTATGAAAATGCCAATATTCAAAATCACTAATAAACTTTAAAATTCAAATTTTCTATTTTGATTCATGGGGTTGAAATCAAAGTTAAAAACTTGTTTTAAAATAATAGGAAAAATAATATCATAACAGTTACCTTACTCAATCTAACTTAGACAACTGGATAACGAATAGCCTGGTTAAACGAGTTGGAAATGATTTTTAAGCGTTTACCTATCCAGAAGTGGAATGTCGCCCGACTCCCTTATCCTTGGAGACCCAATCTGTCCTCTTCCTTGACACACAATCCTTGGAGACGAACAAGACAGTCTTGACCTTTGTCGTCATTAATACTCACATGGACACAAATTGGGTTCACTGTATGCAGGTGCGGATGAAAATACAATGGAAAAATCGAATCTTTTCGAATAAGGGATTTTTTATGTTAGCAAAAAGAAAATAAGACAAAATAATGATAGAAATATAAAAATATTGAAAATAAACTCCTTGGGAATGATTAAAAGTCATTTTTATCTTTGCATATTGTGAATTATTTTCTAATTTACCTACTGTGCTTACCTTAAAACATGAGAGAATTTTATAAATTGGCTTGTACAAAAGGGATAGTTTTTATAACTGTTTGTTTGAATATTTAAGCAATATCGGTATAAGGACAAAATTATGTTTAACAGTAAAGTTAATGAAAATACAGAAAGCTTCATGCAAGAGCATTTCAGTGACATTAAACTTGAAAACTTGTTCTGTCGCTGCTTAAATCTAAAAAGCGTGTGTGAAAAGGGTGAAAAAATGTGCTAAACTATTAACGAAAAAAATGGTTTTTCAAAATAAAAAATTCTTTTCATCTCATATATTGAAAATTCTTACCTTCTCCATTATATCCCTGATATGATCAATAATCCGCCGTGTCGATCTTGGATCTAAGAAAATTTCTTTACAAGAAAACAAAAGCCAATTCAGTTCAATAATTGTATTCCTTCCAGCTTCAGTTTTTGACATTACTTCTATTGGAAGGAGGCATTCTACTGGGGTTGTAAGGTTAGCTAAAATCCTGGAAAGACATACTTTAAGTTTGATTATTAAATAAAGGAGTTCAATATTTTCAAATATGTTCTTAAAGGAAGAAGGACAAAGAGAAAAAGTGTTTACTCAACCTCTTTAAGGTTAAACTGAAGGGCCGAAAAAAATATACTTGAACTAAAGTTAACTTACTTTAATGTTGTATTTGTTATATTCCTTTCATCTTTTACATTTATTAATAGAGGCAGTAAATCCTGAAATTAAATAGAGCCATTTAATTAAGGGCTCTTAGTTAAATTGAAACAGTCCACTTGAAAGGCACAGTGTGAACAGTTTATTGATCAATATTGTCAGTATGTATTTGGAATAACCAGAGTTAGAATATGAGATTATAGCTTATACTTTATTTTAACCTTTTTGATGATTTGCGAGAAACCAATCGCCCTTCTAAATGTTCTTAATGTCCTATCCTCGAGAGATAATTTTTGCAGCACCTCATCCAAGATATCTTGAAGACCAAAGGAGAAAAAGTTAATTATAAAAGATATTTAAAAAAATAATGAAATAGTCTTACTTTGGCATTCAGGGCTGATTAAATATTGATCGCCGACTTGTGAGCCAAGAGAAGCAAAATTGTTAGAAACCTGGGGAATGTTTGTTACAAGCCACTCCATGTTTTGTTACGAATATATGCTGAAATTAAAAAAAATCTAGTTACAATTCAAAAATGTTTTGATTATAAGGTAAATCTATAACCACTACCATCATCTTAATAAAAAAACAATAGCAACTTTTCAGAAACAATTATATATATACTTATATACCAAGTACTCAATTTTGAATGCAATTATTGATAAAAGCATCAATCTTAATAAGTAGTACAGTGAGATTTAAGAGGGAGGTTCAGTAAAATCAAATTACACTGATGGACAAAATTACACATTTAAATTTTAATGATTTAGGTTTATGCATATTTTGCATAGCAAAGTTTGGTTGTAATAAGACATTTAAAAAGAAAATAATTATTACTTAAAAGGTTTCTGGCAAAATCCTGAGGAATTCCTTGCCATTCATCAAGAGCAGCCTTTTGCTTTGTTTTAGGGTGTTAGGACCTGGGTTTTGCCATCGCACTCATCGCTTAAGTTGGTTCTTTTTGATTATATTCAAATCTCGACTTCAAGCAGGCCACACCAAGCACTCAATTCCAACCTCTTTCAGGAGGTCATCTACAATACATGTTCTATGGAACCAGGCATTATCCTTCATTAATAAAAATCTCTCATCAATGTGGAGGACAAATGTTCTTCGATCATGTCTTGTCAGAATCTCTGTGAAGTGGACCTATTCCAAACAATTCGGTGTGGACGTCCAGGAAATACCACCCCAGAACATCAACGACCCACCTAGGAATACCACCTGAGGAAACATATTTCATGGGGCGTACCTTTCTTCTGAGCGTCTCCAAATGAAATTAAGCTCATCTGAAGATTTGAGGCCAACTCATCTCATCTGTAAAGAGAACTCGTCCCCATTCTTCCAATGTCCATTTCACATGTTCCTGTGCTGAAGCTTGGCTATTTTCCGAGCTGTGGCAAGAAGAGGTCCACGAGCCGAGTGCCAGGCCCTGACATTATTTTCATTGAGCCTTCTTCTTACAGTCCTGTAGGAAATCGAAACATTTCGTACTTGCCTTATCACATTTCTTATCTCATTTCTCTTAATGCTTCAGTTTTTTAGACTCTGAAGAGGATGAATCTATCGTCTCTTTCGTCCGTAGACCTAGGTTGACCCTGTCTTGGCCTTCTAGCGTGGCCCTGTATCTCTGAAGCACCAAAAAACCCTTCCTGTTGTACAGTGATTTACTTATTTTCTCCTTCCTGGCAACATCCCCCTGACTGAATCGTTCCTCTAATAATGATACTGTCATACTCCCTCAAATGCCTGGCTGGAGCCATTGAAAAAGTTCTGAGAATAAGGATATCAAATGAAATCAACGAAGGAAAAAGATTAACTGTAGGGCATAATGCTATATTTTGTACAAATGGGATTAATCAGTACAAAAGTAAAAAAAAAGAAAAAAAAAGAAGGAAGTAAACAAAGCATTATTTACTGTTTATTTTGACTTCAAGAGCTCCTAATTACCTGTAACTAATCTGGAAAGTTAATGGATTTAATTTTAAACTATTGGGTTGTCCGGAAAATAATGCAGGATTTTGGTATTAAACAAAAAAAAAGAAACTAGTTACTTTAAAGCAATGTTCTTTAATCAAAATAATTTCCCATACTCTCAATACATTTCTCCCAACGTGTTGGTAACTTATTAATTCCGTCTGAGTAGAATTCAGAATTTTTAGAATTGATAAAGTCAATAAATGCATTTTCCAGTTCCGTTTGATTTTTGAATATTATGTGTTGTAAGTAGTGGTCCAGGTGTCTAAAAAAATGGTAGTCAGTAGGCGAGAGGTCCGGAGAGTAGGGTGGGTGAGGCAAAGTTTCATAGCCAAGCTCCAATAATTTTTGTGACGTTACACATGACACATGTGGTCGAGCGTTGTCATGCAACAAAATGGGCCCTTTCCGATTGACCAAAGAGGGCTTCATTACTGCCAATTTCTGATGCATGGTATTAATTTGGTTACAGTATGATTCAGCATTGATGGTTTCGCCAGGATTTAAGAAGCTGTAGTGTATTAAACCAAATGAAGCCCACCATACCGTAACCATTACCTTTTTTTGATGAGTTGGGGGCTTTGGAAAATGTATTGGAGCTTCTCCTTTGTCGAGCCACTGTCCAGAACGTCTAGTGTTATCGTAGAGAATCCACTTTTCGTCACATGTAACAATTCTGGCCAGAAATGGGTCATTTTTGTTTCGACAAAGAAGTGATGCACAAACATCAAAGCGCTGATTTTTTTGGCGATCGTTTAATGAGTGTGGAACCCAATTTTCGAGTTTTTTCACTTTTCCAATCGCCTTGAGGTGGTCAGCGACGGTCGTTTTACTGACTTTGAGTTGCTCTGCAAGTTCTCGAACAGTTGTTTTGGGGTTTTCTTCCACCACTGATCGCAGAACATCATCATTAAGAGAGGAAGGCCTTCCACGACCTTCTTCATCTTCAAGGCTGAAATCTCCCTCCCGAAATTTTTTAAACCACCTTTGCACAGTGCACTCATTAACACAACCCTCGCCCCAGACTTGGTTAATGTTTCTAGCCGTTTGGGCTCCGCTTCGGCCGAGTTTAAACTCGTAAAAGAAAATCGTACGAAATTCTCGCTTTGACATTATAAGGATGACTGAATTATTTCCAAGTAGCGGAATGCTACAGAGGTAAACAAACAATATCATTTGGAAGAGGATTAATAAGTGTTGACATTCATACAAATGAGTAATCCTGTAAACGTAAACAGAATATTTTATATAGATTTTTTTAAATGAAAACTTAAAATCCTGCATTATTTTCCGGACAACCCGATAAATAAATTGAGTGGTGCGTTAAAGTTGTCCATCAGTATATATTAATTGCAAGACACCTACTTAGTGCTCATCCTTAGAATATAATATATTTAAAAACGTTAGTGGATGAGGCCAATTTGAATGAAAATAATTTTTTCCTTCATCGACCTTTCAAAGAGTTTATCCCATTCAACAAGACTTTGAATCTTTATAATTTAACGTTTATAATTGTAAATATGAATATCTATTTACAATTTTGAAACATGATTTCCAATACAATGAAACGAAATATCGAGATTGTATAGATTGTAGAATATTAAAACCATAGGTTTCAAATTACTTTGTTTGCGTTTGTTAACCTTTTAAATTATTAATGAAAGTAATGAGGGGGAAGTTTACTTCAAAGATTTTTTTTTTTTGCTTTTTCCTTTGGAAATATTGCCATATAATATTTATTCATTTATTTCAATTTTTTTTTTATAATCCTTCTCCCGGACGTTAAAAGGAAATGTTGATTGATTTAAGAAATTTATAAATTAAATCCAAGACCTTCATGTTGTTACTTGCCAACAGCGTTTCAAGATTTATTGGGCCCATTATACTGGGGTGCCTATACCGATCATCCAATAATTGTTTCCTCTGGTTATCGTACTCTGGGCATTCTAATATTAGATGACTGGGATTTGATGGACTGTTGCATGTTGGACAGTTAGGGGAAGTGGTTATTCCAACTCTATGCCTATAACTCCCCCACAGGCCATGGTTAGTTTTGATTCTGAAAATAGTAGAGTAGAATTCCTTTTGCCTGCCTCCTTCCAAAAACCACGGCTTTGCTTTAAGCTTTGGAAATAAAGCTCATTGGATCACGACTGTCAAAGATTGTTAAAATCAAATGTTGAAATATAGATTTATGTATTAACGTTAATAAAATATAATAATTTTTTACCACATGTCCTGGGTAAAATGTTTTCGAATTTTCGTGAATAATGATATATTTACTTATAAGGAACACATAAAATAAAAAAAAATATTAAGTTAATTTATTGTTTAACTTGTAACATCTTGTAATTTTGTGCGAATTGAAGCACAGGGATAAATTGATTTGGTAGGAAGGCGAATAGTTGATATCCTGACTGGCTCTTTCAGGGCAACGGCCATTTTTTTGACAAAAAATCAATCAATAAAAGAAACACTACTCCACAGCTTTATCACTACAAAAATTTCATATGAAATAAAAATTAGCCGTTTTACTTTAAAACCGATCGTTTTTTTAAAACTTAATTGTACAAAATGGTGATCCGAATGGAAGCCGTACGTTTCAGACATGAACAATCCTGTTAAACAACGTATATTTTATTCAAACCACTAATCAGCTAGCTGAAAATAGAATTGAAATTGAAATCCAATAAGACCGATACATAGAGAAGCATAAACGTGTTATTTTTGAACACTGTTACACAATTACCCCCATTTGCAGATTATGCTAATTAATAATTAATTATTATAACAATTCTGCCAGTTATAACCAATGTGATCAATCGTAAAATATGTTATCGTTCAGGAGAGAGAGAGAGAAAAAAAAAACAGCTCTAGCTTTAGAATGTGATCTGATAAGGAAAGACACGAGGGTCCCAGAAAACGTGTCCCGTCGAACAACACACGTGAGGACAGTGTAGAGGGAGAAAAAAAAGTTTGATAGTTACCTATAAGTAGACCAGGATGATAGGTAACTATCAAACAAACAAAAATTGAACGTTAGTAAGCATTTTAATTTTTGATTGCATAATATCAAATAATAAAAAAATTAAGGCTACCGTGTGTTTGTCAAGTTAACTCTTAATAAAATTTATCCTATTATTAGTACATACTTATACTTATAACTATGTATAACCCATTTTTTCCTTGATATTATTTCCGTAAGCATTTCGTCGTTACGCAACGCAAGAAAAAGTGTACGAGGAAATTTATCTGCCATCAATTTGTGCATTGACCTTTGATAACAGAATTAATTTTCATTCTCCTCTCTTTTCAACGACAAAATATTGTTTTGAACTTATTTCTAACTATAAAATAAATTACAATCTTTTATTTTACGGGAAGTAGGCCACTGGTCTCTGAAATATTGGGTTGTCCGGAAAATAATGCAGGATTTTGGTATTAAACAAAAAAAAAGAAACTAGTTACTTTAAAGCAATGTTCTTTAATCAAAATAANTAATCCTGTAAACGTAAACAGAATAT